TTTATCTGGGCCAATTATATGGCATTAAACACCCAAAAGGAAAGTATAACCAAAGATTAAAGGGGCCAATATAATTCCTTAAGAGCCCATATCCATAGCTAAAGGCTACATAACAAGGAACAATGCCAGATAGGAGATACCTTCTTTTGAGTTGTTGGCCAGGGTGACCAAAGGGACTCCCAGATAGTAACCCAGCATACAACTGGGAAAATGAACAGCAGACCCCAATCTTATCTAAAGGAATATTGACAACTGATTGCTGCTAGAAGAGGAATAGCTGACCCTCCTAAAACAAAAACCTCTAGATAGTCTGACTAGATTCAACAGATGGACGAGTACTGGGTAATGGCTGGGGGCACTGATAACACAGTGGACAGCACCAGGGATGACAGAATATATAGGCTCCAGTGGGGGGTGGGGATCATGGGACAGTGCCATTTGGGAGCAGGTATAAAGATGAATAAGGTTGTTTGGGATGTTCTATATGAAATATACATACGAAAAGAGATTTAAAAAATGCCTCAGTGCAAAATGGTGCAGCTAGCTAGAAAGTGAACTTTTCCAAGATTTACTAATTTCACAGGTATCAAATTTCTTTTTTTTAAAGCCATTTCTATTCATTCACAAACAGGCACCCAAGTTTCCAGAACTCTACTTCTTAGTCTCCTCTGAGGGTCATGACTGCTTAGCTAACTTGTTTCTCTGTAACAACTCCAATCTCACACAACACACAGGCTAGTCTTTCTGCAAGGAACAATATATTCTAAAATGAAATGGAGATCTTTTTTAAATGTTAAAAAACTCATTCAATTTTATGTCTTACAGGGCTTATACTGAGTTCAATATTGTATAACTGTGTTAACTCAACTGTGAACCTAGAAACTTGCACCCACCTGTGACAGAGATGTACTCTTGCTCTGGAGTATGTTAATGAATATGTTAAATCTGTAGTGAAATGCTGTCCATTTCCCCTGTTCTATGCTGGGTTTTTGTCTGACTGAGTTTGCATGGTCTTGTGCATCCTGACGCCATTGCTGTAAGTTAATATGAGCAAGTTCCAGAGGCCTGGAACACTCTGTTTCCTTGTGGTCATGTACCAGTCCTGGCTCTTACAACCTTTTCACCCGGTCTTCCACAATGGTCCCTGAGCCATGGGTGGGTGAGATTTAATTTAAGAGTCCTGTCCAGGGAAACACGCACTGAAGTCTCTTATTCTCTACACTTTGGCCCATTGTGACCTTCTGTGTTCATCGCCCCCTGTTACACATGGAAGCTTCACTGTAGAGATTGTTTCTAAACCTTGTGTTATTTCTAGAGATGTCTGGTGGAATGGACTGCCGACTGACACTTAATTTAACCATTTCTTGTTCATTTGTTTCTAGAATACAGAGTCATGGGATCTGTGCTGTTGACTGTAGAGACCTTATGTACAGACTTAAATCTTAACTATTTCTTTTTTAAAAGGTTTATTTTCTTTTTAAGCATGTGTGTGAGTCTGTGCACATAAATGCAGGCACCCAAAGAGGCCAAAGGTTTTGAATCCCCTGGAACTGGAGTTACAGATGGGTGTGAGCTGCCCAGTGTAGGTGCTGGGAATCACACTAGGGTCCTCTGCAAGAGCAGTGTGTGCTCTTAACCACTGAGCAGCCTGTCCAGCCCCTCAGTTGTTCTCACTAGCTTTGTGACTTTAAGTAATTTCCTTCATATCTTGAGGCCTCTTTTCCACTCTGCGTTCTGAGGCTTCAGTGAGTTGACCTGCGTAAAGCCCTCCGTGTTCACACAGTCCAGGGCAAGTACCCAGTGCTTCATCTGCTGGTTATTTTTATCATGGTTTTTATTCTCACACTGCTACTAAGCCTCATTAACAGAGGTCACAGAGCCCCCTTTCCCTCTACCCTTTTAGACCAAGAGTGCTGCCTTCTGGCCCTTCTCCCAGCCTCACCCAGGGCAGTCTAACACCTTCTTGTCTCTCCAGGCCAACTGCATCAGCTGGAAGGGCTGAGAACCATCGGTGTCACCACCAATGGCATCAACTTGGCCTGGCTGCTGCCGAAGCTTCAGCAGGCAGGGCTTAGTGCCATCAACATCAGCCTGGACACACTGGTGCCTGCCAAGTTTGAGTTCATCGTCCGAAGGAAAGGTGACCACAGCCAGGCTGGGGTGTGATCCTCCCATGGCTCTGGTGGCTGGGGTTACATGGAGGGGAGGGGCACTGGCCACTTCCTCTTGATGTCTAGACTGTAGATGTGCCTAGGTTTTTTATTCCTTAACCAAATGTCCATTTGTCTTTTGGGGTTGATGCTAATGAGCTAGATCCTGTTGCTAGTTTTCCCAGGATGGAGAGGTTTCTAGAATAACAGATAATCACTGGCAAACTTGCCAAGTTAATCTTCCGTAGTGAGTGATGAGGAAATATGGGTCAGCTGGGGTGGAAGTATCCACCCTGTGCACTGCCAGGGAGAGTCCTCAGCAGCCCCTGCAGTCATCCCTGTGCCATATGGATATAAGCCTCTTTTTCTCACACCCTGCTCCAAACATTCTCACACCTGCCTCCTGTGTGGTGACCTCAGGGTCCACCAAGATGGATGGGTAGAGCCAGCCTGGAGCTGCGGTCTTCTTAGGTTGGACCCTTGTTTCGCTTGGCCATGGGCTCCCTGTTGGAGCAGGGTACCCTGTGATTTTGGAGGTATAGGTGGTCTATCATTGAGGATTCCGGAAGGACAGAGGGATGCTAGGGAAAGCCAGCTTTCTCCACCCTCTTCTTTGAGAACAGCATCAACACCAACTGCACCATCCTCTTCTTTCCCTCCGGCCCTGGTTTGCAGCTCTATTTTTACCTTTTCATATACTGAGGAAACACAAGCTGAGGCTCCTCCCTTTGCAAAGGACTGCTCCACAAATTCAAAGTATAACAGTCTAGTTTTTATTTATTTTATTTTTGTAAAAGTGTGGGTGGGTGGGTGTACATGTGGGGATCTCTCACTTGGGTCGGGGCTTGCTGGTTAGGCTAGGCTGGTTGGCCGGAAGCCCCAGGACGCCATCTGTCTCCACCTTCCCTGGGTAAGGATTCCAAGCACAACACCATGACCAGCTTTGTATATGAGTCCTGGGAACCAAACTCAGAGTTCCATGCTTGGGCAGCAAGCATTTATCTCCCTAGACCCATATACTTCAGATAATACAGGTCTATAAATAGACTAGAGGAATGGTGGTATTTTTCAGTAATACTATTTTGTGTAATTGGGGTCACAGTTCATGTTCCCAATCATTAATGATTACAAATGTTATCTATAAAATCCATTCTTGGCTGCAAGGCTGTATAAAAACAGGCAGTTAGCTGGATCTGGCCTGGAGCCATATTCATGCTAATGAGCTAATGTGACCCACCCCTGATCCCACCCCTAGCTTTCCCAGGAAACCGACCCAAGATCTAGCTGAGCCTTTGCCCTGTCTAGATGTGGAAACTGAGGCCCTGCTGGAATCCTCACACTCCACCTTGTAGAATGTAGTCTCCCTCCCTCTCTGGTGCGTTCTCAACCGCCCAATGTTTACTCAGTATGGTCTGGGAAGAGCTGCAGAGAGTAGGTACAATGGGGCTGGCACAGGATGACGGTCTGTGTTGCGCTCTCTGCCCTCTGTGGCTCAGCCCAAGCTGATGTCTCCCCACTCCCACTCCAGCTCACAGCCCATCATCTGAGCACTGTCCCCTGAGTTGTGTGCCAGGGAAGGAGACAAGACAGGAGAGAACAGCACAACAGTGGGCCCACCCACAGTGCCCTTTCACATCCCAAAGTGAAAGGCAAAACAAATTTTTTTTTTCACTAAAAAGGGAACATGGACAGATCCTGAGAACGATGCCCAAGGATATCTTTGACTTCCACACCCACCCACACATGGACATGTACACAACTCCGCTCACGTTCCCACAAAAATAAAATGTTATATTTGGAATTAGTTTTTTCAAAAAGTGTTCATGTCATATACCCACACAGAAAGTGGATGTTGCCTCTTGGCTTGTATAACCTGAAATGTTTGCTGTCTGGTCATGACTTAAGACTCTTGCCATCCTTTGGGCTAGGTGTCTGTCAGGCTCTGTTCCACAGGGCTCTGGCACTGCCCAAGAGGGTTCCTGAATCATTACTCTTCCCTCTACCCCCCGCACAGGTTTCCACAAGGTCATGGAAGGCATCCACAAGGCCATCGAACTGGGCTACAACCCTGTGAAGGTGAGAGCTGGCCACCCCTGCTGACTCCTGCCTTCCTCCCTAGCCCTGGTGGGGGGACCATGACACCTGGCCCATTGATAGCTCTTAGCCCATCCTGTGGATGTGGACCTCCTACCACTTCTTCCCCAGTTGCATCCAGTCCCACCCCCTCCCTGGTAGAAAAGCAGTGATCCTCATGGAGTACCCCAACTGCGGGAGCACTGCGTGGCAAGAGGCAAGGACTTAGTCCTCAACAAGTGCCACATCCCCAAAGGTCATCCCCATCAGACATGTGGGGACAGCCCCTATGGCCCTCACGGTCCCCTTGTTCCCCCACCAGGTGAACTGTGTGGTGATGCGAGGCCTGAACGAGGACGAGCTCCTGAACTTTGTGGCGTTGACTGAGGGCCTCCCCCTGGATGTGCGCTTCATCGAGTACATGCCTTTTGATGGTCGGTGACAAGGGTGTGGAGGGGATGGGAGAGGATGGGGCTGAGTGGGGTACCTCTAATCCCAGAGAGGATGGGAGGGGTGGAAGGGGGTGGGGCATCCTCAGAGTCAAGCGTGGATGTGATTTGATGCACTGGGCAGGGCCCCCTTCATTTCTGGTTCAAGAGCTCCCCCTGCCACCCATAACCAAATACAGGCAACAAGTGGAACTTCAAGAAGATGGTCAGCTACAAGGAGATGCTGGACACCATTAGACAGCAGTGGCCAGGCCTGGTGAAGCTGCCAGAGGAGGAATCCAGCACAGCCAAGGTTAGGGAGCTGGAGGCCAGGGCTGGGGACAGTCTTGCCTCCACCAGAGTTGGTGGGGTACAGCAGTTGGGGTGGTGGGTTTCAGCAGTGCCCTGCTTCCTGGAGGGAGCAGACTGGGCCTGGGTGGGCAGAGCTAAGTAACATCAAGGGCCGTGCTCCAGCAGGTGATTGGGGGCAGTGCTTGTCCCTCTCCTTCACAGGGTCTCTCACAGGTGTCTGTATCCATAGTGGGTGTACTCCAGGGCAAGCCAGGCAAAGCCAGGGAACTCATGGGTTGGTTATCACACAGGAAGAGGGCTGAAGAAGGGGTCCTGACATCAGGGAAGGAGAGCTTGGGGCTCAGTAGCCTACCTCATCCCTTCCACTGTCCTTGTTCTAGGCCTATAAGATCCCTGGCTTCCGGGGTCAGATCAGCTTCATCACATCTATGTCGGAGCATTTCTGTGGAACCTGTAACAGGCTACGCATCACAGCTGATGGGAACCTCAAGGTGAGTGTGCACCCGCACCCCCATGAGGACGCATTGCCACCCAGTTCCCACCAGAGATTTGTGAGGTCAGTGGAGCACACAGGGTAGTCAATGCAGGGGAACCTGGGAGCATCTGCTGCAGTTATCTGGTTCCTTCAGTCATGGCTCCTGGTTTATGGGTGTCTTCGCAGCAGTCCATGCACTCAGAGGGGAGGGATGAAGGATAGGTGTCCATTGTGCTGTTCTGGTTGGCTTTTTCTACCCAGCCAGGGGCTCAGCTCTGAAACCAGCCAGCATCCATTACTCATGGCTGATTGGCATGTTCCAGGTGGACACACTAGTCCTTTGTCCTGTGCATGCCTGTGCTGGTAGAGAGGATGGTGGGCCTTGCAGAGGAGTACCTTGGACCTCAGGAACCTTAAAGAGTGGGTGGCATTGGTGTTCATACTAATTAAAATCAGACCTGAGGCTACCACGATGGAGAAAGCTTTGGTTCAGAAAGTGTTCTAACAGCAGGGAGCTATGTGAGGTTTCTGTACAAGAGGGGGGCACAGTCCCCATCTTTGTTAGATTTGAACTTAAGATGATTCATTGATTGTTCAGCAACCATCCAGATCTATAAAAGTGGGAGGCAAGGATGGGAAGTTTGTGCTGGAGAGATGACTCAGTCAGAAAAGTATATGCTACAAATCATGAGGACTAAAGTTTGGATTCCCAACCAACCAGGGAACCCAGTGCTGGGGAAGTAGAAACAGAACCCCAGAAACTCACAGACCAGCCAGTCTAGCCAAGTTCATGAGCTCTAGGTTTGGTGAAAGACCCTGTCTCAAAAAAAAAAACCAAAAAACAGGTTGGTGAGTGAAGAAGATACCTGATGCTGACCTCTGGCCTCCATGTATGTGACACACATATATACCTGTGCACACACACAAATACATATACAGAAGAAAAATACTAGAGGGAAGATTTGGAGAACTTGGTGTGTACGGAGGAGAAAGAGAAAGTGTTGGGGCTGCTGGGCCCTCAGTGTGTTTAGAACTGGGGGTGTGGGTGTTTTAGGTTTGGGTGCATTTGATATACAGTATTCCAGTGGAATGTTGAGGACAGCAGGTTTTCCTGAGCTGGAGACAGAAGTGACAGGGACTGCAGGTGGTGTCTGTCCATCAGGGTCTCTGCGGGAGATGCAAGGTGGGAGTGATCAGTAGGAATAAAGAAACTACTAAGGGACAGCTGTCCCCACCTAGGCAGGCAGGGGGAAGTGACATCACTGGGGCTCAGTGAGGTTTCAGCCTTGAGGAAAGAGGGTTAAGACTTCACCCGTGGAGGGAAAGCTACTGCTGCCAGAGATGGAGAAATGGGGAGAGAAAGCCCAGCCTTCCCTCCTCATCTCCCAGGCAGAAGCCAGTTCAGGGGAGCCAACAAGGAAAGTCCACAGGGGACCAGCCTAGTGTCACAAGGGCAGAGAGGAGCCCAGGCCTGGTGGTGTGTGGGGGGGGAAGGAGACACTCAGCATGGTGGAAGAGCCACACTTCTTAGAGTCCCATGGTGTCCCATCTTTGCCAGGAGTCAGCCCTCTCAGGCTGCTCAAACATGTGTCCACAGTGCCTTATGCAGAGGTGGCACTTAGTGGATGCTTTATAAGGTTCTCTGGAAGGGTGGTCTGTTGAGTTTCCTGAGATACCTCAACCTTCCTCAAATCAGACTACCACAAGATGTGGTCAGGTGTGGTGACTCAGGCCTGCGATCTTAGCACTTGGAAGGCTGAGGCAGGAGGATTATCAAGAGTTTGAGGGCAACTTGAACAAAAGATTGTCTATCTCCACAATAAACAAGCAAACCAGCAACCCAAAGCTGTCATCTCCAGTGTCCCTCAGCTGCTCAGCTAGAGCTGAGCAGGGATCAGGGCTGGAATTGGAGCAAGGACAGGCAGTAGTGTCCTCATGTGGAGGAATCAGGAGGGGCTGATGGGAAACGGGATGTGGAGTACTCCGTTCCCCCTGAGTTTGCATCTATTTAATATTTTTAAAATATTTTATTATTTTATGTATATGAGTGTATTGCCTGCTGCAAGAGCTCCCATTGTGCAATGTCTGTGGAGGTCAGAAGAGCGCATCAGAGTTCCCTCTAACTGGAGTTATGGATGATTGATAGCCACCATGTAGGTGCTAGGAATTGAACCTGGGTCCTCTGCAAGAGCAGTCGGTGCTCTTAACTGCTAAGCCATCTTTCCAGCTCCTAATTTCTTAGCGTACACTGTGCCCCCCCCAAAAGAGCAAAGCTAGACCCACACCCAGGCCTTGAAAGTCCGATTTTGCTTCTTCCCTTCCTAGCCTCTGCAGTCCCTTCTGTCCCTCATGGCCCAGAGTCCTGCCTGGACGTGATGTTTGGTGAGAGGTCTGAGCACTGACATCCCCTCAGGGGCCCTTGAAGGATAGGGCTAGCTACTCAGAGGTTAGAAGCAGAGGCGCTGGGATGAGGCAGTGTGTTTTCTCTCCCCACCCCTTCCATGCAGGTCTGCCTCTTTGGGAACTCCGAGGTGTCTCTGCGGGACCACCTGCGGGCAGGGGCCTCTGAGGAAGAGCTATTGAGAATCATTGGAGCAGCGGTAGGCAGGAAGAAGCGACAGCATGCTGGTAAGGGCTGGGGTGAGGAGACCAGGTGGGAGTGGGCTGGTGTCAGTGGAAAGGAGGCTGGGAAGGAGCAAGAGGGTAAAGCCAGCCCAGGCCCAGGCTACCCAGTCTAAGCATGGTTTCCACCACCTGTCAGGGCTTTGAAGTGATGTGGTGGTAGTTGTCCTTTGAGAAAATCAGCATGGCATAGGCTGTACGGCGGGGGGTGGGGGGTGTCTAATTCTCCCGGGCTATTTTATTGGGCTAAGAGCTGTTACTACCCCCTGTATTCCCATGCATAGTCTTTGGGAGACAGGGAGGGCTGGGCCCTCGGTATCCCGCATCCCCGGATTGTTCTTTGGGGTCTGCCTTGGGTGACCTCACAGGGCGTTTGTCAGGGTGCCTGTAGCTGAGGGCATGCACACAGGCCTCGGACCACTTCCATCTACCCATGCTTTTCAGTGAACTCTCCTCCCCTCTCCCCCCTCTGCTTTTCTCTCCCCTCCCCCCATCCCTTATCCCAGGCATGTTCAGTATTGCCCAGATGAAGAACCGGCCCATGATCCTCATCGGTGGGTGACCCATCAGTACGTAACCACTCACCCTTGCCATTGGGGGGGTCCCGTGGGGGCACCCCTGCTCCTGCCTCATACCCTGTTTTCCTTTTTCATCCCCTTCATCTTTTCTTACCCTTTCAAGACTTTCTCCTCCCTGCCCACAGCTCCCCCTCTGTCTAAATACATGACCAACCCCCACCCCCAAAGGGAGAGCTGCAGCCTCTGATCACTTCACTAGTGCTACACTGGGAGGGGAGCCCCTGGTTAGAGAGCTCAGCTCTGGAATCTCCCAGCAGAGACCCAGACCTCTCTTCCCCTCTGCAACATGGCACCATCTGTGCATATATCTAGTCCACCTTTGTGTTATTAGTATCTTGTCCAGGCACAAGTTGAGGCAGCCCCCTACTAATGCTGTTTATCGGTTCAGGGGAGAGGTTGCTGGGATCTGAACTTCCTGATTCCTTAACTCTAGGGAGCAGAGCATGTGCACAGACTGTATCTCTCCAAGTGAAAATTCCTCTTTGTAAAGCCCTGGGTGGTGTCCTGTCCTGGAGAGCTGGGCAGATCTGTAGGAGCTTGGAGGGTCACTGCTGCTCTGCACAGTGTCCAAGTTAAAGCAGGTGAAGTTTTGACCTCTGGGCCACACCAAGATCTAGAACCCTTGAAACACCAAGGAAATCTGGGGGCAAGGGTTCCTTTCTCCAGGGCTTGAAGCAAAGTGATCTGGGTGGCTGGGCTGCAGCGGGCCAGAGACAGCGCAACGAGCACCCAGCACACTGGCCACCAAGAGCAGGAGAGGCAGCTCACCATGAGGAAGCACCCCATTGGGAAGGAACCCTGGCCATCTCCCTTACCCCAGCCTCCAGCACTGGGATTCCCCCTACTGGGTCTTGATCTGGGCTTAGGCATCTTCAAAGGAAGAAGTGGGGCCACCTTCATGGCCTGCCCCTACGAAGGAGGTTGTACCGCTGACAGACTAGGGTCAGGTTCAGGGTATGATGGGAAGGTGGAAGTTAGGAGGCCATTAGCTTCATAAGGAATGTCACGACTGAAGTGTGTAGTTACTGGACTCATCTTGTTTCTATAAAGCAAGAGCTGCCTTGGATAGGGTTTCTCTGATTCCCATGAGCATATGAACCACATAGGGATCTCGTTCAGATCCTGATTTGAGAAGACCGTGGTGGGATTCTCCATGTCTCATGGGTTCTCAGATGGTCCTGACATTGCTTCTCTGTTCACCCTTTGAGAAACAGCACCTTTCAAGAGTCCCCCAGGGTCCCTAGACATTGGATCCAGCCTCACTTTGTGTGCCCTCTAGTTGGACTCACAGTTTATGTAGATGAACTCTCTTGCTTGGCATCTTCCTTTAAAATGGCAGGATTACTGGTTCATTCTCCGTAGGGAACATGAATACAAAAATAGCTAGAATTGGTAGTTCGGGGTGAGACCTAGCTTGTTTTAAGAAAGTGAGGGTCCCTTTGATCCAGGCTTCAACCTTTAGATCATCGGGTGCTTTGTAGGAGAACTTTGGGAACAAAGTTCAGATGTGAGGGAAGCCCAGGCATGCATGACCCTGCACCACCGCGGCCTGAAGGCCGCAGACTTTTCTGTGCACTTCGGTTTTCTTTCCTGTGCTTGGTCTTTTCCCCAGTGACAACTCTTGGTGGGATAGAGAGGGCTTTGGGGAAGAGAGGAGTTAAAAAGGACTCCTTTTAGGGCTTAGTTTTTTCTCTTTCCTTCTTACCTTGCAGGGATATTTTTGATGCTTCAAGAGTCCCCACCAGCCAGTCAGAGCATTTCCTCCTGGCATCCCTTCCTCGTTTGGTGTCTGAAACCCAGAGGGAATTTCTCTGACCAGATGGCAACTTTGTGGAAAAGACTCCGTGTCCCAAAGACCCTTTCTCTGGTTCAACAGTGGCTGGGGTCTGTCTCCCCTTTGAGACACTACAACTCCCACACAGACTCAGACACCAACTCAAAGTGCCTTAGCCCAGGGTCCCAGGCTCAAGGCCACTCAGGACCCAGGTCAACCTCAAACCACCTAACTCATGTGGACTCAGAAGGACGGGCAGCAATGGTGGATGTGGGTGGGAAGCCAGACACAGAGCGGGTGGCTGTGGCCTCTGCTGTGGTTCTCCTGGGACCCGTGGCCTTCAAACTTGTCCAGCAGAACCAGCTGAAGAAAGGAGATGCTCTGATGGTAGCCCAGCTGGCCGGAGTCCAGGCAGCCAAGCAAACTAGCCAGCTCATTCCTCTGTGCCACCATGTGGCCCTGAACCACATTCAGGTACAACTGGAGCTGGACAGCACACGCCATGCCGTGGTGATCCAGGCATCCTGCCGGGCCCGGGGTCCAACCGGAGTGGAGATGGAGGCACTGACCTCAGCTGCCCTGGCTGCCCTCACCTTGTATGATATGTGCAAGGCAGTCAGCAGGGACATTGTGGTGGAGGAGATCAAGCTCATCAGCAAGACTGGAGGCCAGCGGGGGGATTTCCATCGGGCTTAGAGCTTCTGTCCCTCGCCTACTCTTGGGCCAGATCTCCCAAGGGGCCCAAAGAAAAGATACATTCTTAATTTTGCCACCAAATATCTTCACCAGTAGGAATCCAGGATCACCCTGCCCCTTTCATAATAATATTTATAATAACGTGTGAAGCTTCCTATGTAGAAGACCTTGCCTTAGGTCTTGATGCCTCTTGGGACTCTCAGGCAATGGAGCTTGAAAAAGACACTAGATGCCCTTCAAAATCTTGCCCTATTACAGAGGCTGTTTCACACAACCAGTTTTAGGCAGTCCCTCGCATTTGGGGTTCTCTCTTCTTCCCTAGGGAGAGAATAAGGGCTCATTAAACAGAGGACCCCACTTAAGGAGGAAAAGCACAGGCTTGCATAAAGAATGAGTCACAGTATGGCCAATATAGCTCAGCTGGGGAGTTAGAAGACTGTCCCAGCTTCTCTCCAGCACAGACCAGCCTCCCCTGGGTTGTGAAGCTGCAGCCCTGCCCTGTCCCCACATCTCTACCCTCCCTCCAAGAGAGCCACTTGTGGCCTTTTGCTGGGTCTGTGCCTCTCAAAGTTATAGGCGTTCAGCTTAACAGTAGCACTGACTTGCCAGCTTCCTGGCCTCCTCCAGCCCACTCTTCAAATAGGATGCACATGTATGGGCCACAGACCTAAGTACGCATGCCGGCCTTCAACCCCACCTGGTTCTGCTCACTGCCGCTCTGCCCACCTCTACTCTGGTGCATATCAGGGAAGAACATGGAAGACTACCTACACCCTCACAGCGTGCAAAGAAAGCTAATTTTGGAGATGTAAAAATGAGGACTGTCTGTGGGGAGGGCACCAAGGTATTCTCGTTTGACTCACAACTCAGCCTCATCCCAAGACCCACTCCCTAGGGGCACAAGGAAAGGGAAAGACCCTGGAAAGGCCAAGGGGTATATAGTCTCTAGACTCCACCCTGGGAGACTCGGGAATGGTATAGAAACATACCCTAAAGTAATTGGTGGGGGCCAGGGGGGTGGTGGTTTCCCCAAGCTACTTTCTGAATCACCAGCTCTTGGGGATCAGGTGTATGAATTAGAGGCTCTTGGATCTCACACCCCCCCAAATGCTGGGTTCTCTTAGATGGACTTTTTTCTGCCCTGTTTGAATCTAGCCCACGTGCTTATAGCAGACCACAACAAGGCTGTGAGGCCAGCTTCAGCATGCTCTCCCTCCTTTATGACCACCAAGACCAGTGTTGTGATCTGATGGGAAAGGAAACCGGAGGGTAGATGAATGGGCTTTTGAGGTCTGTCTTCCCTGGTGCCCCTGGCCTGGCATCCCCTCTTCCCTATGCTGAGGTGTACTGGCAAATGCTTAACAACTGGCTCTTTACAAGAGTCTATGTCACCGATGTTCACTATTCATCCACATAATTTCACCTGGCTTGGAACATTCCAGAAAATGTGCATCAGCATTCATGAGGCTGGTAGGACCAGGCCACCACTGATTGCCTACTCCAACACAACCCAAGTCCAGTCATAGAAAAAGTACACATTTCTAGGCAGGCTTGGGGGGAGGGAGATGGTATGGATTTAATATTTTTTTAGTATTATATTCTTATAAAAAAGGTGCAGGTAAAAAGGACACTGTAGATTTTGTACAAGGGCCTTGTCTGCAGCAGCTAATGAGAGCTGCCTTGGCAAAAGGTTGGCAGATGCCCCTGGTAGAGGGCGGGAGAGATGGTCAATTGATGGACAGTGGAAGGGGGTGGAGAGGGCCCACTCCTTTCCCCACCCACCTGGAGAATGTCCTTCCACACTCCCTGGACAAATTTCCATTGTGGGAAGGAAGTCACTGTCGCTGAAGATTGTGTTGGGTGGAGTAGTGTGAATTTTACATCAGGCACAAAGTTAACTGGAGCATTTGATCCCCAGGTGTCAGGAGAGGCGGTAGACCACTGGGGTTAGGCTTAATCACTTAACATCAAGGACCAGGTCAGTCACCTCCATTGGGCACAGCCCCTTCCTGCCAAGTTGCTCACAGTGGTCCACGGTGCAAGGCACTGTTGAAATCTGGTTACAGTGGCATGTAGTACCAGAGCCACTGGTCAGATTTAGAAAATTATAATAAATAGAGAGGGCAACAGTCTTTGCGGGGTGAGGAGACTGGGCTCCCGAACAATGCCAGACTCTGCTTCTCTGAGGATCCAAAGTGTCTTCAAATAGCTTCCTTCTTGTTTTGTTCATATCCGGTCTTCTATGGTAGGTGGGAATGTCAGGACTTGAACATGCCTGTCAGACAGGTGGAACCTTCACAGCCTGTTCCCTGCTCCCTGACAGCCTGGCCGGTTTGGAAGAGGATGGGAAGCTGCTGCTGGCCTCTCCTCCATCTCAGAGCCTGCCTCCGATGTGCAGGTGGGTGTGATGAATCTCTGCAGCTGTTCCTCCTAGAAGTCTTCCTCTTGCTCTCTTGGGATGGTTTTTTCACATCTGTACTGACCAGTTTCCACTTGCTGAGATCTGTCCCTCCAGAACACAAGTATCTACTCCCTAAACCAACGCACATGCTAGGCTAACCAGTTCTGCATTTCTACCCTGGAAGCTACTGTGGTCCCACCCCCAGGAATCTCATGTAGAAAAAGACAGAAGACAAGCAGTTAGAAAAGTGAGTACCCCACTCACCTGTCCCCTGGCAATGACCCTGAACCAGGGAATTTGATCAGAAGGGCCAGGGGCTGGTGGATGGTGATCAGGGCTGGTTTCAAGAAGAGAAAGGGATATACTGAAAACAAGAGCTTCAAGAGATGACCTCACCCTGCTCCATTTCAAAGAACTCCTCCCCAGATAAAGTAGTCCCACCCCACTAGTACCATCAAGGGCAGCTGAAGATGACAGAAGGTGAGTGTGGACAGGAGGGTCAGAATAGGCCCATGCCGATCCAATTGAAAAACCAAGCTGAGCACCTAGTGGGAAACAAGTCCCTACCCAAGGAAGTCTGCTCTCTCCCATCTCCACCCCAACTCCCCAGCATCTGCCTGCTCTTAACCCCAGTCTCAATGTCTTCCTCAAAGTGACACATTAATGCAGAGGACAGTTCTGGCCCTCAGGATCAGCTCTGCAAGACCATCTGCACCCAGGTACAGGGGGCTCCATGTGACCTGCGGATGGAGACTCAGAAGTCACCGTTGCTTCTGCCTTGGGGGAGGTATTAGAGAAAGGGATATCCGGGGAAGTGAGGCATTCAAGTGTTACCCTCTGGTGAGGGGCTACTGGGAATCCAAGTCACTGTCTCTCTTTAGGACAGTGGTTGGGGTGAACCCTGGATGTGGCAGAGCCCCCATGCCTGAACCTAAAGTGAGGTGATGAAGGAGGCTCTTAGAAACCCCCAATTCCTTGCTTATCAGATCCATCTCATACCTGGTAGTGAACCAGAGTTCTAGAAACCCATTTTGGAACAGAAGATTAGTAACTGGGGTGGAGGTGGTTAGGGAAGGAGGGAGAGGCCCCTAGATTAAAGCACTGATATGGCCTGCTGGCCCTGGTCCCTGTAGCATCCTCTCAACATTTGGTTTTCTGGAACAGGCTAGATCTTGCTAGAAGATATAAAACCTCTTTAGTTTCTACCCAAGAGGGAAGTTGGCTCCTAGGGTCCATTCTATTGCATCATCTTCAGATAGGAGCCTCTTTCTGGTTCTCAGGTACCACCCCACCATCTCCTACCACTGTCCGGAAGATCCATAATCTTCCAGATCTACAACAGTTCTGTGCTAACATGAGGTGTGAGAGACAGGGGTCCCCTCACCCTGAAACCAGGGCCTGTCTCAGAGAGTAAGAGAGAGTGTGGGGGAGAGAGAGACAGACAGAGAGAGGAGAGAGAAAGAAGTAAAGGGGAGATGAGAGGCAGGCAGTGTGGGGAGACACCTGGTCAAGCCACACCTAGCCCCCCAGGACCCAGCCCAGGGCTCCAAATCTAGCTCCAAATTGCTTCAGTCACCACCTCCTCTGCTCAACCCCCTTTCCCTGTCTCTGTCTCCAGGCCTCCTGCTTCATGGCCAGACCGCAGTCCCCAGGTCAATAATGTAGCCTGTTAATCGCCCGCTCGCGGGTGACCTCTGGGGCCTGGCTCCCTGATCGCTTGCGATTGCGCTTGAACTTGCTTAAGTCCTTGTCAAAAACTTCGCCAGAGCGCAGGGCTGACACCAGGTCGTCAAACTCGCCGCCCTCCTCCAGCGCGCTGTCCCCCAGGACCTTCCTCTGCCGTTGCCATCTCTCCTTCTCACGCTGCTCCTTCAACTGGGGATGAAGAGAGAAGCCTGCCAGGGACACAGGCAAACTGCCTGCAGCCCTCTTGGTCCCTGGACAGTCTAATTGGACACCTACCACTGCCCACCACCCTGACCTTTTGGGAGTTTGCTGGAAATGTTGGCTCTCCAGGCCCACTCCAGGTCTTCTGCATAATCATCTAAATGTTAAAAGGAATGCCCACATGTGGGGTCCATACGCATGACCACAGGGAAGCAAGTGGAGGCCCAGAAAGTTCAAGGTTGAGATGGGCACTACCAGGGGGGCATTCTGCCCTTCCAGGACACCCCAATCTTCCCCACCTTACATGGCTTTCTGCCCTTAGGCTAGGCGATGTTTCTCTCTCCTAGGGATGATAGTAGCTCCTAATGTGTTCCCAACCCCTATTTTTTTCTCACATACCCCAAGTAGCTCCCCATTCAGACCCACTCCAGCCCTATTCTGCCCCCACCCAGGCTCAGCCCTCACCATGGATTCCATGCGTGCCCGCCGCTCCTCCTCCTCCTTCCTCCTCCTCATGGCCTCCAGGTCCTGTCGGGCCTCCAAGAAGGCCTGCAGGAAGGTATCAAAGATTCCAAAGAATTCATCCGGCTGCATCTTGCTCTCCTGCTCCCCAAAGTGCACCAGAGCCTTGGCAAACTGTGAAGGGGCCAGAAGGAAGACGCATCACTGAGTGGGGTGGACCATGCACTATGGCTACCTACCTTCCAGCAGAGACCAGTCCAAGCAGGTTCATACATGGAAGCCTTAATCCCAAATCCCCAAGTCCCTATCCTGTTATCCCAGAAAAGTCCTAAGGCTGATGTCTGGGGAGATGAATGGAGCCTGGCTGATGACTACCTCTGAGTCAGTTATATTGTAGTTTGGAATCAGGAGATGTAGCCCTTGGGTAGACTTTTCTAAGGTCAGGCTGGCTAGAATAGAAAGTGACATCACGGGTCATCTAGTCGTCGGGTGACTTAGTTGTTGGGTGACTTATTTAGCCCTCCTGTGACTCAACTTCCTCATCTGTTAAATGGAGATTAATGTCATAGTATTATTGTGGGAGTTAAACAGTTGATATATAGAAAGGACTCATTTTATTTACTTGAGCCGTGTACTATTCTGATTTTTGTGAGTGCTCTGGCCTCTAATTCAACCTACACAAAATCCTCTAGGAGAGCTATTGCTGCCCAAAATGTCCTCCTTGTACCAGCAGCCTAGGCACCTTCTGGGAGTTTGTTGGAAATGCTGAATCTCCAGCCCCACTCCAGATCTTCCGAGTCATTATCTACATGTTAAAAGGAACCCCCCACATGTAGGGTCCATATGCATGATGATAGGAAAAATAGGTGGAGACCCAGAAAGTAAGTTCAAGGCTGAGCTGGGCACTCAGGATGCTCACCCAACTGGGCCACTGTGACCAAGTGACTTAAATTCTGATTCTCAGTGTTTGCCCCTTTGAGTGGATTATAAATGTATAGCAAAACTATAAAGTAGGCGGGGAGAGAAATTATCAAAATGCTTTTGGTGAGGCTAAGTAGGTAGCTCAGTCAGTGTGCAGTGCTTGCTGTATAAGTGTGATAACCTGATTTTCATCGCCAGTACCCAAATAAGCTGGGCATAGTGATATTCCATTGTAACCCAACACTGGGGAGGATCTCTGAGACTTCTGGTCAGTCTGGCCTCGTCAGTGACCCCCAGGTTCGAGTGAAACACCCTGCCTCAAAAAACGAGGTGGATGGATCCTGAGGAACAACACTCAAGGTTGACCTCTAGCCTCCACACACACATTCACGTGTATATACACATGTGCACATAAACAAAATTCCTTAAAAAACCATTTGTGGTGTCTGACATCTGAGAAGCGAACCCCATACTCTGCAGTATGTCACTGTCAATGTTTGTCCCTGAGGAAGGAGGGGATGGGATTTCCTGGAAGCACTGTGGCTCAGGGATTGCCCCTGTCCATGGTAGAAATGGGTGAGTCGAGGAGCAATGTGGGTCAGAGTTGGGGCTGGGACACCCGTACCTTATCTCTGGCTTCATTGAGCTGGTCCTCCAGCTCTGAGAAGCTGAAGCTGGACACAGTGATGAAGTCACTCATGACAGGGACGAACTTATCATTGGGGTCCCGCACCTGGTGTCTCTGATATTCCAACTCCTGGGGATGGAGTAGGAGAACGGAGAGGGGTACTTAGAGGGCTGCAGTTCAGGCCTCACCACATGCCCCTTGTTACCCACAGGATATCGAGCCTGCCTTTGGAAGAGGCAACAGGCAGGCTCACAATTCTAAGGGCGACAAAGTCTATAAGTGCCGTCAGCCAGTCCAGTGGCCCAGGTCCTTCCCCCACCTACCACTTTCTATAGTCCTTTCTCCACTGGCTTGCTGACTGAAATCTGGCCAGCAGCACTGCCTTGAAAATGCAGATTTCTCAGGAAATGGAGATTCCTGTTGGAGCAGTGTGTATCTATTTCCACATGGTGTGGTGCCCATGTGAAAAATGTATTGATTGCATTTCTTTTAAAAATTTTAAAATTACGTGTGTGTGTGTGTGTGTGTGTGTGTGTACACGCGCACACGCGCCAGAGACCTCATGTGTCCTCTCCTTCCACCATGTGGAACCCGGGAATCAAACTCAGGTCATCAGGCTTGGCAACAAGTGCCTTTTCCCACTGAGTCATCTTGCCAGCTCCCAGACTGAATTTCTAAAGCTTTGAGCTGACACATATGCTGCTGGACCATGGTATACACTCTAAGGAACACTTCCCAGGACCATCAACATGGACATGTGGAAACAACCATCCGGTGATAGTAACGGAAGGTTTTTCTATATAAGAGGGCATATGTAGCCCTCACACATGGGTTGGACATGTCTATAAGATAACTAGATTACAAGGGCAAAGCCTTCATGAATGGGATTGGTGCCTTATACAAAAGGCCCAGGGAAGTTCATTTGCCCTTTCTAACCATGGGGGTGGGGGGAGGGAGAGACTGGTGAGAAGCTCATGAGGAACAGGCAGGCCCTCCTCACTGGACCCTGAATCTGCTGGCATCTTCATCTTTGTATTCCCAGCCTGCAGAGCTGTAAGAGATACATATCTCTTCTTTTTAAAGCTCCCCAATTGATGCTCCAGTGGGTTCAGACACTGGAGTTCCTATCAGTGAGTGAGGCCTCAGATCCTCCTCTAGTTCAGGCATGAGGGAAGAGACCTAAGGTAGGATTTTGCGAGGACAGCAGCCCCTCCCCTGACCCCCACCATACTCTGGGCTGCCTCCTGTAGTCAGCTGAGCCTCCCCATTCACTAAGATCAAATGTGAGTATGTCACAGTATCAGGGTTCATTCCAGCACGCACAGTGATTCAGAAGCAGTCTCAGATGGATGGCTTCTAGTTGAAGGTCTAAATTTAAGTCCCAAGTAGTCCAAGCATTCTTTCCTAAGGGCTCTGCCCACTATACCAATAGTCCCACCTGTTGGGGACCCTTGTTGTGTAAAGTAGTCTCTTCATGTCCGGATAGCCCATGGGCTCGGCTCAAATGCAGAGACTCCTTTTTCAGCAGGGTGCCTTCCTGGCATTTTCCTGACTCATCTTTTGAAGTAGCCATGGCCTATGGCTCTGGAACTGCCAGCTTTTCCTGTGTGATTTTCAGGCAGTCTGGCAGCCTGGCAGGAGCCCACTTCCATGACACGCAAATGAGGCATCCCCAAAGTACCTATCAGATGAAGGCTTTTTTACCACTACCCCCACGGTATAAAGTTTCCTGGTTTTCCCTCAATAATTGGAGCTGGATCACCAAGACTTGGAGCCGAGCTGAGTCACTGAATAAAGGCTGTATCACTGAGATCAGAGCTGAGTCCTGTGTCTTACTGCCTACGATCCAGTCTCCCCAGGGGGTGCTATCCTTCCATCATCGACTCACGGAAACCCAGCTTTAGCCACGCCGCACCTTCCCGCGTGACCCGGCAGCTGACAGATCTCGCATCTCGAGGAAGTGCACGGGTGAAATTGGGGCGGTACCCGACCGGGCCAGCCCCGGTAGCAGAGACCCACAGAGACGCGGAGAAGCAGGGACCCGCCAGCAACGCGGTACACACACACACACCAGCAGGCTCAAAGAGGACTCACCACCTCCACCGCTCGGAGGCCCCTCTTGAGGTTGCCCACCTCCTTCTCCAGCTCAGCCAGGCTGTGGGGAGACAGGGGAAAGAAGGAACTTGTCAGCTCTGGATGTGAGGAGCTGAGGATGGTTCAGGGAGAGAGCAGCTTGAAGCACAGTGACATGGGGGTTCATGGCTGTGAGACCCAGCCCTGCTTAAGCCACAGACACATGGTCCTGGCTAACCATTTCCCTCGATGCCTGTCAGTGCTTCTATAAAACAGCAGGGAGAGGGCCAGAGAGATGGCTCAGCAATTAAAGAGCACTGACTGCTCTTGCATAGGACTGGGGTTCAAATCCCAGCACCCACATGATGGCTAACAAATGTAACTCCAGTTACAGGGGATCTGACATCCTCTTCTTGTGGAGACCTAAAAGCCCCACCTTGCATAGGTCTGAAAGGAAGTTGCGGCATGGGCTGGCGAACGGCGTGCTTACTCATCCCCAATCCTCACCTCATGGGGGGTCGCTGGTTCAAACCCCTGGCACTCTTCTGACCTCCTTGGGCATCACATGACATAGGTGCATTTATACCCATGCAGGCAATACTCTCATACACATAAAATAAAAACATAGATAACATATTTTCTAAATAAAATAGCAGGGAGAATGTCCTCTCTGTTCCATAAATCTTTCCAGATCAGAAACATGCTGTACATCTCAAGGTGTCTTTGTGTGTATATATGTACATGTGTGGAGGTGTGTGCGCACATGCATGTGCATGTATGTGTAGGCCAAAGTATAACTTCAGGGTGTCATGACTCAGGTTCTCTCCATCTTTTATCTTGAGACAGAGTTTCTCATTGACCTGGAACTCACCAAGTAGCTTAGGCTGCCTGGCCTATGAATCCAGGGATCTGCATGTTTCTGCTGGAATTACAAGCATGGACCACCATGGCTTTTATTCACATGGGTCCTGGGGATCAAACTCAGATCCTCCTGCATGCAGGGTAAGTACTTTACTGACTGAGTCATCTCCCCAGCCCTATCAGAAGGTTTCTAACACCTGGTACCTGGCTGGGTATATTTCTTTTGAACACCATTAGGCAATGTTCATCAGTTAGCAGAATGCTATGCTATGAATGTGTCCTTCAAATTCACATGTTGACTATTTGGTGGTAGGTCTTTGGAGACATCATTGAGATTAAGTGAGGTCAGTCATGAAGGCAGTATGCCTGGGATGCTCTCTGCCATACTACAATGAAGTGGAGGCTAAGCAGAACCTGGCACCGTGCTCTTGGACTTCCAATCCTCCAGGACAGTGCATCAAACTTCTAGTTTTTATAATTACCCAGCTTCAGGTATTCTGTTATAGCACAGAGTGCCTTACACACAGTAGTAGCATTTGGTACCTGTTGACAAGAGTATTTCTTGTTCTCCTGGAGATGGCTTTTCACAGACCATAGCTTAAGTCTGATTACCTTAAGAGATGCTGTGGGTTCCCTGTCTATTAGAGCACAAGGCTCTTCCAACTGGCTGAGTATGTGTGTGTGTGTGTGGGGGGGGTCATTCTCCTCTGCCTGCACTGATGGCCAGAGAGTTATATCCATCCCTCAGACCACTCAGGCATTGTGCTGTATGACAAACCCAGGGTCCTTACTCCCGTGGGTGGGATAGACAGAGGGAGTGTTTTCTATACTGTCTCCCTGTTAGATTTAAGTTCCATTTGCCCACAATAGAACTGGCTTAATAATGTTTCTGCTGTGGTTTCACAAATGCCTGTAATTCCAACTCCAGGGAATCTGGTGCCCTCTCCTGGCCTTTGCAGACACTGCACTCACATATGCATGCACACACACACACACATATACAGATGATAGACAGATAGGAGATAGATAGATAGATGATAGATAGATAGATAGATAGATAGATAGATAGATAGATAGATTAATAAAAGATTTATTATTTCTATACATGGCTCACTTCCTTACTCTTTGTCCTTGGCTGGCCTTTTCTAGAGTCTTCTGTGAAATAAGGAATTAAGAGCAAATCATTCCTGTTTGGTTCTACTAAAAGCATGTTCTGAAACACTGGTCATTCCTAGTGGCCCTCGAGGAAGGAAGCCAGTGTGTGATACACTCTAAGGAACACTTCCCAGGACCATCAACATGGGGACGTGTAGGAGGACGGCTCACTTGACTTTGGCAGCTTCTGAGAGGTGCTGTAGCTCCGATGGCATGTTTAGGATGTCAGGAAAGTGTTTCTCCAGGATCATGATCAGGTAGTGGAGCAGAGAGATGTTCCTGTGGGTAACAGTTGGGTCAGGGTGAGGAGCCAAGGACACTAGGAAGGAGCATGGGACAGGAAGCTAAGGGTGGGCTGGAGAGGTGTCTCAGCAGTTACCAACACTGGCTGCTCTTCCAGAGGACCGGAGGTTGGCCGTCAGCACCCGCTTGGTGGCTAACAGCAGTATACAACTCCAGTTCAGGGGACCTGGTGCCCTCTTCTGGCCTGTGCAGGTGCTGCACTCTAATGTGCATGCACACACTGACATATATACACATAAGTAAATAAAATCAATCTTTAAATTTTTCTTTTAAAAATGGGAGTTGAAGAGATGGTTCAGTGGTTAAGAGTGCATATGGCTCTTGTAGAGGACCTGAGTATATGGCCCAGCACCCACATCAGATGGCTCACAACTACCTGTAACTCCAGCTCCAGGGGATCTAATGCCCTCTTCTGGACTCTGCAGACACTTGTATACACATGTATGCATGCTCCCCCCATCTACACATAAAATAACAAAATAGATATTCTAATAAAAAAATAAAAACAAGGCGCATAGGAGAGGGAGATGGAAGAGGGTTACAGAGGGGACGGGAGAGGCCAGGGTGAGTGCAGCCGGGCCAGAGAAAGCCACCTGTCAATGCTGGACTTGGTATCTGCGATCTTATTGAGGCTGGCAACCCGGAAGCCGTAGGCGCCCCCACGCTGTCCCTTGTTCATGAAGTTACCGATGGCTAGGACCACCTCCAGCATCTGCTTCAGACGTTTGCTGAGGGTCAGCTCTCGGGAGGCCAGCAGGAGGGCTAGGAGAAGAGTGAAAGGTCAGAAAGCTACACAGACTGGGTCAGACCAGCGGGTCCCTTGGCACTGCAGGATGACGTCCCCACAACATTCAGGAAGGGGCTCCCTTTCTGCCCTAGGGCAGAGTCTCCCCACTCTGATCAGCAGCCTCCACCCCTCACTCAACCTCCAGGTAAAGCTGGCCCTTCTCAGAGCCAACCACCTTTTCTTAAGAATGATCTGAGAATATCTTGCCTTGTATGTAAAGGTTATTATACTTTTTATGAATATACATTTGAATATGACAGTTTTGCTTTTCTAGACCTAACATTTTAAAAAAATTTTCTTACATATTATGAGATGCTTCTGCCTATTTTGAAATTTTGTACTGTGCATATGTATGTTCATGTAGGCTCACATGGGTACATTCATGTGTATGCATATACATGCATGTGGATGTCAGAGGACATCTGTCAGTGTCATCCCTCAGGGAGGGCTGTCTGTCTTGTTTTATGAGACAGGGTCTTTGACTTGAAATTTGTTTAGTGGGCTTGGCTGACTGGCCAGGATCTGCCATCTCCAATTCCTCATTGCTGAGATTATAAATAAGCACATATCACCACCCCTGGAATTTTTATGTGTTCAAGGTACCAAACCCATTGTCCTGCTCTGGCCTTTGCATGCACATGCATGGTCATATCCACTTACACACATATGGATATCACACACACACACACACCACATAAAAAGAAAAGCCGTTGACTAAAGGTTTATTAAAAAAAAAAACTTCAGTTTTAAAAAATCAGTAACTATGACAAAAATACTACAAAAATGAGAAGGCTCCTTAAGCCTGGAGCTTGCCCATGGGCTCAGCTGACTGGGAGCCCCAGGGATCCTCCTGTCCCACCTCCCCAGCACTGGGATCACAGGTATGCTGCTGTCCCTGTCTGTTATTATGTGAGTTGTGGAGGATGGAACACAGGTCCTTATGGTTGTATAATGTGCTGGACAGCTTCAGTTGTCAAACAACACACCTGGGTAGAGGGAACGTCAGCTGAGGAATTTGCTCCATTGGACTGGTCTGTGGGGCATTTTCTTGATTGGTGAGTGATGTGGGAGGGTCCAGCCCACTGTGGGTTGTATAAGTCCTGGGTTGTATAAGAAAGCAGGATGAGCACAGGCCAGGGGATCAAGCCAGTAGGCAGTGCTCCTCCATGGTCTGTACACTGCTCCTGTCCTGAGCTCCTGCCCTGTCTTCCCTCTATGATGAACTGAAAGTGAAATAAACCCTTTCCTCCTCAAGTTGGTCAGTGTTTTATGGCAACAATGGAAATCTAGGAAGCTCTTAACGATCACTTTCCCATCTCCCCAGCCTTTCCGTTAAAAAAAAATGCTGGCATGGTGACACATGCCTTTAATCCCAGAACTCGGGAGGCAGAGGCAGGCAGATCTCTTCAAGTTCAAGGCCAGCCTGGTCTACATAGTGAGTTCCAGGACAGCTGGAGCTACAGGGAGACCCTGCCTCAAAAAGACAAAAAATTAAAATTAGAATGGGTAAATTATGGTATGACTATAGAATGGAATAAAACACACATGGCACTAAAAACTGCCCCCCCCTCCACGTATCGCTAGGAAAAACAAGCCTAGTGCAAAGTGCAAAGCTACTGTACAGGACTATCCTTTGATCCAAACCACCACCATCTTTAGGAGTTGAAATGTTCCTGCTTGCAAGAGACCATCCCAGCTGGACTTGTTGACTACTGGCATTCCCTCATAGAAAGGGGTGGGATACAGAGGGTCAACTGAGTAGCTGCCCATTTCTCCCAACCAGTTTTATATAACTCTGCCCTAACTGCACATGGCTTTGGGGTCTCGAAGAGGGGCTATAATATATAACCTGGGGAAGACTCTAGGGGAAGGGGGCTCTATCAAGTGGCTATGGGGGAACCCATCATCCATGCTGGCTTCAAACCAGCTGCTTTGGGATCCCCCAAGCTCCTGTCAGTAACCCTTCACTTACGCTCTCTAAGTAAGCCCAATAAATTCTGGTTCCCCAAGGGGAAACTTTCATGGAATTAAACTTTGATTTCTCATTGAGATTTTAGAAGGCAGGGGTAGATGTTGCCTGCCACCCTCCCACCCCGCCAACCAGGGCATAAATTCTCAAGATATAAGCAGAAGTCATCATAAAGTTATCCATAACAAATTCCATTTCTAGAAAGTTCAAAATAGAAAAACTCATATAGAAGTCAAGATAGCTGTTGTGTCTGAAGAGGAGGGAAAGAGGCATAGCTGGGAGGAAATGTTTGGAAGAAGTATATAAAGATGGGATTGAGGGACAGAGACAGTCCTTTTCCTGACCTGAGTGTTGATTACACAGATGTGGGAGTCATCCCACTAGGACCCAGTAAGAACAGTTCTAATGCTTTGCGTACGCCTCTGTGTGACTGCCTGTGGTGTTTTGAATGAGAATGTCCCCCATAGGCTCTAAGTATTTGAACACTCGGTTCCCAGTTCCTGGTGCTGTTTAGGGAAGGTCTCAGAACCTTTAGTAGGTATGGCCATGCTGGAGGAAGCATGTCACTGGGGACTGGCTTTGAGAGTTCTTAAACCTTGCCAGATTTCCTGTCTCTCTCTCTGCCTCCCATGCCTGCTTGAAGATATGATCCTTTGACTTTCTGCTCCGGCCACCTCCGCTGCTGGACCTCCCCTGCCATGATGGACTCTTACCCTCTGGAACCGTGAGCCAAATAAACTCTTCTGTGAGTTGCCTTGGTTGTGGTGTTTTATCACAGCAACAGAAAAGGAGCTATACAATGCCATATTTCAATTGCAAGTTTATTTTTGAAAAAAAAAAAACAACCACAACTACATATGAAACTCCTCAGCAATTTATATTGCTAGAGATGGTTTTCCTGAAGTTGATGGGCTGTTTGAAAAAAGAATGCAAAGGAATATTCCTAAAAATGCTAAAAATGTTGGCAAAGCAAAAACTGATAAGAGTTGAAGGGAAGTCAGGAAATGAGAAAACTCCCCTCTGAAATGTTGATATTTTAGAGACATTCATAAGAATAATACATTCATGAATATATTCATAAGAATATTACATTTACAGTCATACTCATCCTGGCTATATTTAGTGAATCTATTCATAATGAGAATCAGTAAATTTGGTGAACTCAGCAATGAATGTATTCATAGGAAGAACATATTCAAAGAAGAATTGGTAAATTTATCAAACTTGGTAAATTAGCCTGAGGCAACATCACCCAGAGCGCCTTCCTGGGGACAAGGGAGCAAGTGTCAGTGGCTCAGCACCCAGCTGTGGCAAGCTCAGTCTTAGCTACTCTAGGAATATTTCCTGGGGGACCTAGAAAAAGGAATATGAAGCCCAACTCCTAACAAACCTCTGCTCCCTACCCCAGCCAAGCACAGTGATCTGACTGTACAATATATGATTTCAGGCATCCTCCAGCCTGTCTCTCAGCCATCCAAGGACAGCCATCATCACTATAGCAGAGGGATGTCTACAGAGCACAGCTATAAAAGTACAACATTCCTCAGTTTTGCTCTCCCCAACCCATCTTGTTCTGTGTAGCTTGATATTAAAGAACACGCTAGCCAGCTCTTACAGAGATCTTAGGAGGGGGCTCCTCGGAGCAGGAAACTGTCTGAGATTAGGCTTTCCCAGTGACTAAGCTACTCTGGTACCATAGCTCCAAATGGCCACTGCTGGTATTTGCTCCACTGACCCAAGACAACAGAGTTGAGTTGAGCACCTACACCTGGAGCTGAGCCTCTATCTGTGTCTCACACCCTGCCACAGGAAGAAAGTAGATAAGGACTCACTCCTCACTGGGGCAGAGACACTGCTAGAGAAAGTAGCTCATGTGTTTGTTTTCTTCTCCCTCAGTCTGATTAGCTTACGATTCTTAAGGACAATCTGCAGGTCCACTTGCTGTGTGTACACGTGTGTATGCATGCTGAACATGTCTACCTTTAGGTCTACATCCTCATACCCCAGAATCCTCCCCAAGCATCCTTCAGAGGAGGACCACTCTCTGGACTGGGCATCTCAGAGAGTGTCCAGCAGGGGGAGCCCATGTTCTGCTCTACCCCAAACTGGGCACTCAGTATCCAAGATTGCTGTTTCTGCCCTGCAGATTCTGTCCTCATCTCCAAGAAAGCCTCTCAGGTCCTCCTGCTTCTTCCTTACTGGGTGTAAATATCTGCCCACCATCTTGGCTCCCTGTATTCCTCACAACTCCGAGCCCATTCCTCTGCCATTCCTATAGGCAGCAGACAGGAGATACCCTCTGATGCAATGTCATGCTACAAGAGGGAAGGGGTGGAAAGAACAGAAAGCAACTGCTTTGCCATCCTGGGTCCACCATCCACCAGGATCATCACAGTTCCACTTAAAGATGCTTCCGTGCAGAGATTGGGGACAGCACCCACCCACGGGCTGGTCTGCAGATAAATGGGACATAATGTCAAGGATCACTCTAAGCCACTCTCTGCTTTCTGAACAGCTCACCCTTAAACTAATATGCACAGAAGACTTCTGTCAACTCTGTGCCTCTCAAGTAGGAAAGAATGGAAGGTTGAATGCATGCCAGGTCCTGTCCTGAATTCAGCTCTCAAGATCTTAATATTTTCTCAGAGGTCCTGTCCCAAGCTCAGGAAGATGTCAACAGATGTCTGAGGAGTCCATGCTTAGCCACAGGAAGGTGTGACATGTTCATCACATTTACTAATGTAAACAAGAACATTTCTCTATACTAATCCTAGTTTCAAGTTGGGTATGGAGGGCCATGCCTGTATTTCCAGCACTTGGAAAGTGAAGGCGGGGGATTAGGAGTTCAAGGCTAGCCTCAGCTACATAGTGAACTTGAAGCTATCCTGGGCTATAAGAGACCCTGTTGCAAAGGATAAAAATCAAAGCTTAAAATTTTGTCTTTGATGTGGATTTTTCTTTACGGTCAAAAGTAAGGCAGGAGTTTCCCACTGCCGCTGTTGCTCGAACCCTACACATCTTTCTACCCCAGGCACGTCGCAGGCCTCCGTTCTACCTTCCACTTTGGGCTTGGTCTCAGCCAGTCGCTCCTGGAACTTCTTCTTGAAGAAGAGAGCCTGCAGCCTCTGCTGGTAGTGGTTGATCCTGTGGACACAGTAAGCCATGTCATGGGGTAGCTGCCTCCAGCTATGGCTCCAGAGCAGCTCCAGAGACTCCTCTGAAGCTGGTCCCCTCTCTCGTCTTCCTTGGCAGAGCCTGCCCGCCCTGACCCCAGCCCCTCCCGCCACGCCCACTGCCCCTACCTGCTCATTTCATAGAGAAAGCGGTCTGCACGGGCCATCCGCTCAATCTCATGTTTGTGTTCTTCCAGAAGGTCAATGTCACTCTTCTCCGGGATGAACTTGAGGAGCTGCAAAGAACAGGTGCAAGTCAGGGAAGTTTGTGAGGGCCTCATACAGAGATGCAGTATGTTGTGTGTTTGAGAAACTCATGTACCACTCTGCTCAAGATGGGGAGGGGCTGCTGAGGCAGGAACAAGACTTCGAGCTATCAAGCAACTTTTTAAGGCTGGTCTGGTCTACATATTAAATTTGAGAAGGCCAGCCTGGATTATATAGCTACATAGCAAATTTAAGACTAGCCTGGGCTACATATCAAATTCAAGGCTGTCCAGCAAATTTGAGGCCAGTCCAGGCTACATATCAAGTTCAAAGTCAGCCTGTTTTATATATCAATTTGGAACAGCCTGGACTGCCTGACAAGCCGAGGCCAATCTGATCGTTCTCTCAATTTTGAAGTTAATCTGGGCTATGTACCAAGTTCAAGGCCAGCCTGGACCATTTATCAAGTTTGAGACCAACCTGTGCTGCCTAGTGAGTTCAAAGCCAGCCTGAGCTACACAGCAAGACCCCGAAGAAAGAAGAAGAAGAAAGAAGAAAGAAGAAAGAAGAAAGAAGAAAGAAGAAAGAAGAAAGAAGAAAGAAGAAAGAAGAAAGAAGAAAGAAGAAAGAAGAAAGAAGAAAGAAGAAAGAAGAAAGAAGAAAGAAGAAAGAAGAAAGAAGAAAGAAGAAAGAAGAAAGAAGAAAGAAGAAAGAAGAAAGAAGAAAGAAGAAAGAAGAAAGAAGAGAAGAAGAAAGAAGAAGAAAGAAGAAGAAAGAAGAAAGAAGAAAGAAGAAAGAAGAAAGAAGAAAGAAGAAAGAAGAAGAAAGAAGAAGAAGAAGAAGAAGAAGAAGAAGAAGAAGAAGAAGAAGAAGAAGAAGAAGAAGAAGAAGAAGAAAGCAAACATGCAAGAAGAACACGAAGATGAGGATGGGACTTAAAGAGGCACCCTGTGTGGACTGCTAGAGGGGCCATCTGCTCAGAGCACCCAGCTCCTGAGCACTGGTCTTTTTAACTGAGATATTACTTACCTGTAACAAAACTTACTATTCTTAAATGCAGCTCAATGGGCAGTCTTTAAAAAAAAAAAACTTCGATTTATCAACCTCATTAAAAAAAAATGTAGCTGTTTCAAATGCCAAGTTCTGGAGGCCTCTCAGAGCACTGTATCCATTGAACCGCCAGGGTAAGACAGAGAACATTTCCTTCTCTTTAGAAAGTCCCTTTGCTGGTCTGGAGAGTTGGCTCAGCAGTTAAGAGCAGTGGCTGTTCTTGCAGAGGACCCGAGTTCAGCTCCCAGCACCCACAGGGAGGCTAACAACTATTCACAACTCCAGTTCCGGGGACCCTACGCCCTCTTCTGGCCTCTGTGGGCATTGCATGCACAGGTGCACTTCCACACATGCAGGCAAAACACTCATACCCACAAAAATAAATTAACTTTGAAAAATAAAGTCCCTTTGCTTCATCTGAGAAGGCCACCCCCACCCTGAATGCAGCTTCAACTGACATCTGTCACTGTAGGGTCCTCTGTTCTTAAACATCCTTTTTGAACCAAGGATCTCAGCCTGTCTGGGAGCTGGCAGGGAGGGGTCTGGATAGTGGTCCCCAGGTTGGGCTCCTTTTCCCACTCCCATCATCACCCTGCCCACAGGGTTGTCTCCTACTCCAGCATGTCCTTGGCAAGGTCTTCCTGCTCATCCATCCTCAGGATGGCCTGCCGGATCTCTTCATTAGAAAGCTTCAACCTGCGGCAAATGCACCCTGAGCACCAGAGCCTGGTCCTCAGCTCGGGGAACCCCCCTCAGGCCTTCTTCAACACATGGTATGACCCCAGCTTCCCATCCCCAACTGCAATGTGGACTTGTGAGTACCAAGACAGTCGTCTACAAAGACTTCCCAGATCAATTTTATAATAGAGTCTAATTTTAATGAAGAGGAATGCCCTCCATATACCCAATAATGAATGTTTCAGTGTCTTATCAAAACTGGAGTCCCTGATGTCCTGCTTGAAGCTTTCTCAGAGATGATGGAACACATGGAATAAAAAGGCTTCAGTGCAGACTAGAAAGACAGGGCCAAGGCTCTCTGACCCTCCCCACCTTCCCCTCCCCCTCCTCTTCATCCTCTACTCCTTTTCTTTCTCTACTAGGGGCAGAAACATCCACTCAGCTCCTGAGGTCCACCACCATCATGATCATCATCATCTCCTCCCCCCCCAGCCCCTCCTCCTCCTCCCTGACCACCCCCCTTCTCCTTTTCCTCCTCCACTTGGGGCAGAAACATCCACCCAGCTCCTGAGGCCCAACCACCATCATTATCTTCTCTTCCTCCTCCTCCTCCTCTTCCTCCTCTGCATGGGGGCAGAAACATTCACCTGGCTCCTGAGGCAGAGCTGGACATAGGCCTATAGTAGAGCCACTGCCATCATCATCATCTCCTCCCCCCTCTCCTCCCCTCCCCCTCCTCCTCCTTCCCTTCCTCCTCCCCAATAAAATATCCTCATCAGCTCCATTGAGGACAAACAGGGCATCAGCAGGTTGTTGAGGAACACTCCTGCCTCTTTCAGTCTCTGAAAGTGCCTGGCCTCCACCCAGATGTTCCTATCATTCTTACTGCATAAGAGCCCCCAGCCCCCTGGATATATCCACACCGAGCCCTTCCCCATCCCTCCAGGAGCACACTCACTGGGAACCCTGCAGAGCCAACACCCCCCCACCAGCCACTGGAAGCAACTCTAGCCAAGGGCCTTGTGGGAGAGCAGAGGGGGCAGATGTCCCAGAGGAGGCTGTGGGCAGCACTAAGAATAGAACTTGGGGTACCCCCTGACCCTGGCTGTGGAGGGGGGAGGTCCCTGCACAGAAGCTGGACTGTTAGTGCAGATACTGCTTGTTTGTTCTATAGCCCAGGGAAATGCTTGTGGACTGAGATCATGCTGCTCTGAGGCCTAAGCCCAGTGGGCCCTCCATGAGCTTAGAGCAGCTCAGCTGACAGATGCTGACTGGTCAGGAACTTTAGAATGGGGCAGTGTACTGTCTGCAGAGCCCTAAGCTGATGGCCAACATGGCCTCACAGGTCAGAGGTCTACATCAGTGCATGTCCCATCTCCTCCAGAGGACAGAGGTGAGGCTACAAGCATCAAGCATGTTGTTCCTCTGACACCAGGCCTGCAGCTCAACCACCTTTTTTTTTATTATTATTTTGCAGTGTTGGGGCTAAACTCAAGGTCTGGAGTGTGCTAAGAACCCAGGCAAGGACTCTGCCACTGAGCTACGCATCCCTAGCCCCTCAATCACCCATCTTGGGCTTCTTCTTGGGAGGGGGTCCCTTTCCCTTCTTTCACACAGGAGAGGTCCCCAGGGCCAAGGTATGTACCTACTTGGAGAGAAGAATAATGCAATTCTGGATCTTCCGCCCATCGATGACTGACAGCTCTTTGACCTTATGGGCGGTCATGTAGATGTCCTCCGTGGAGCCCAGCTCTTTCTACAAATGGCAAGTTAAGGGGGAGCACTGAGGTGAGTGCCCTCATATTCTTCCTACCCACCTCCCAGGACCCACCCTTTCTCCCAGAGGGAGAGAACCCTGAGTTGAGACACCAAGAGACAGGGAAAGAAAAGGCAAAAGAGAGGGAGGGTGTTTAACCACCACGTCCCATGGGTTAGAAAGGGGGTGGGAATGAAGAGCCCTCTTTTTAAAGAGATCATTCTCTCTTGAAAGCCCAGGGAAGGAGCTACTCAAAGGAAGCCATAACTGCTCTCTGTGGCTTCTGGTAACATGGTGTGCCCCGCACTGCATGTCCCATACCCCACCCAGAGTCTCCTCAAGCTTATGATGAGAAGTTGACCCAAGCCCTCATAAAGCCACAGGTCTTGTCTCCTGGGGCTTCAGGCCTAGCCCAGTATGCCAGAGAGTAAAGGGCTTTACAAAGTCAGAGATGAAGCAACAGGCCTAATCCACACCGGATTTTCTCTCCTGGGATTCCAGTAACACAGACTCAAAACCCCATCCCTCCCTTCTGCTGGGCCCCAGATCAAGTGCTCAGGAGCCTGTCTAGCACACAGCGGCTACTTTGGAGACTTCCTCCAAGCACATGTTTCAGGATGCACAACTCCAGGGCCTGCCACACACACCATTATCTTTGTGAATTTTGCCTCTGGAGTTGCGCAGTGCTCAACATGGGCAGTTGTACCGGAAAGCCTTGCCTTGGGGCTGGTGGATGATGCAATAGACCTAGAAGCCTTCTCACACCCTTGGACATCGTCCTCCGTGGCCAGGAGAGGTCTGCTTGCAGCCCCTCCGTCTCTCACATGTCCTCTTTCTCTCTGGGAACCCTCTTGCATGCCACCCTATATGAATGAGTGATAAAGACTACAGGTGGTGCAGGCAAGCTTTCTCTCATGGACCCAGTTCAGGGCTACAGCCCCGGACAGTGGGTAAGAGAGACAAGAGTGTTCAGAGCTCCAAGAGTGACTCACCTGCCGAGAATCATGTTAGCTATCAGCTTCTAGGCAGACAGCAGCCACAGCCACCAGCGAATTAAACATGCAAAACATTAGTCAACAGGCTGAGGGACCCGGGAACATCAGGACAGAGGTGGGCATCATTGGTGTCCATTCTGTCCACTGTGTCCCCAGGAGGTACCCTCAGGGTTGGGGATAGGAACCTGAAAGTAGCCCAGAGAGCAGCTTGAGGCAGGCATGCACTCCCAGAGAAGTCAGACAAGGAAACACCAGGCAGCCCCTCCCTGCCGCTTGAGGACCAGGGTGGGATGCAGCTGAGCTGAAGCAGTCCCCAAGCAGCAGCTCCAGGACCCCACGCGTTGACTGCTAGCTTGCCCCTTTCTGCTAAGACGCTGCTGACAGGGCAGAGGACGTTCCTTTACCCAGGGTGAGCTCCTCTTTAGCAATATATGACTTGGGCTAGAAGGTTATAAAACTCCTTGTCTCTGGGGCAATGAAAGCAGGCAATCTTGAATTGTCCCCAATCCTTGCTCATCTGGTCTTTGATGTCCAAGGGGAGCAGAGGAACACAGTCTGCCTGTGTCCTCCTTTCTGACGTGGACAAAGGTGCAACCACCAACTCCAAACCTGCCTAGGACATAGAGGGGACCCAGAACCTCCCCTGGTCCATGGCCCAGGGCCCTAAGACAAGAAGAGGTGGTGACCAGGGCAACAAGGCCTCTGGGATTGCACTAGTTTGGTAGCTGTAACTTTGGTCCCAAAGACTGGGCTGTCTACTAAATTAAGCATGAAGAGGATTGAACAGGAGACTTTCAGACTCAATTCTTCTCATGGACCAAGGCCTTAAGCCTTGTATATACTTTTTTCCCAACCAGTCCCCACCCCAGCCCCACACCTCAGAGCCCAGGAGACTGGATAAGCCAGACCAGAACCCTAAGGGAAGACTCACAAACGAAGGAGAGGCATGGGCTTGCACACAGGATAAAGTGACACTTGCATTCCCCATGTCCCCACACTGATGTTCACAGAGTTCCTTCCAGCTCCTGCAACCTTGACCCCTGCCCATGACCATGCTGCCCTAACTAATCAAGGCATGGGCCAAAGTTCTTCTTAGACTTAGAGAGTGAAGAGTCAGATGTCTCAGACACCCACATTTAACTCAAACAATCATGTTTTCTCTGGAACACCAAGACAGGACCAGAGTAAAGTTCCAAAGCATTCCTTGGGCCGGGACTTAAAGGCCAGTCACACGGGACTTTGGCTCTGACTCCTCTAAGGAAGGGTCATCTCCAGCTCTGGTTTTAGGGGAAAAAAGCAGGGTAGAGTGCTGTCTGCAGACCTGTGGCCACAGCATCCAGCAGCCACCCAGGGTTCAGGGCCCGTCAAGGAATCAGAAGTTCTCAAGGCTGGAGCCCTGGGCTAAGCAGAGACTCGGAATATAAATACACAACACTTAGAGGACATACAGAAAAAAACAAGGGCCTTATAGTACCTGGGCTTCTCACTGCCTAAGCAGACCTGGGGGAAGGCCCCCTGCCAGGCATAACATTTGCACTCAGACTTCTGAGACCCGACCCACCTTCTGAGTCATTCGGTAGAGGACAAAGTCGTTCTATCACCACACTTGGTGAACTCCACAGGGACTCAGCATCATTTGAGACCTGCATTTGGCCACTGACCATGCCCACTACATCCTCTGCAGATGGAAGACCAGCCACGTATCCAGATACTCCACAGAGCAGAGTGGGGCCCCTCCTGACCTTCAGCCCCAGCCTTGAATTTTGGAAATGGCATAGACCAGCATCCCCCATCTTCCCTACAGCATTCACATCTCTGTCCAACAGACTCACTGGGGTGGGGGAAGAGTGTGTGGAGAAAATGGTGGGAAAAGTGGGTTGATAAGCTGCCATGGTCTATAGGTATGGGTGCTAATGCCTAGACCAAAGGAAGCATGGCTCAATAGAGGCTGGGCTTTGAGACACCACCACCAATGCATGAAAAGTACCATTCCATCGTTGCTGTGTGTATATATAAGCTAGAACACGCTGGATGGCACAACTGTCATTCATCTCTATGGTCTCAACAGGAACATGGAACTTCACAATGAATAAAGGCTCGGCATATCTGTGAGGAAGGACAATAAAAGGAAGGAAGAGAGAGGTGACGATAGGGAGGAAAGAAGGAAGGATGGGAGAGAGGAAGGATGGAAGAAGTTTGAGTACCGGGATGCGTGTGTGTGTGTGTGTGTGTGTGTGTGTGAAGACTGAAAGTCAAGATCCAAGAGATTAGAGGGGCAGATTCTTACCTGATGCCTCTGATAGGCGGAGAACATTTTTTCAAAATCTTCTAGGTCCAGAATCCAAAACACCTGCAAGTCATCAATCTCATTCCACACGGTACCAGGGACACGCTCCTGAGATTTGGGGTAAAGAGAAGACCCCCATGGTTGACCAAGCCCTTCCATAACTCAGATGCCAAAGCTTCCCCGATTCTACCTGTCTCCAATGGCACGTTACAACAGCCAGGTTCTCGGGGATTTCAGAAATGGATCTGATCATACCAAATTCTCCCTTCTTCAATACTCTGCTCCAAGACAGAGACCCAAGACCACCTCTTTCTCACCCCTTCCTTTCATATGGGGACACATGTAAGCATGTACCAGAAATCAGTGGACATGTTGGGGGATGGGCACGCATGTATGAAAGGGGAAGAGCTATGTTTGTTTCAGAAAAGTATAACCAACACAATGCTCTGGGGGCCTGCTCCCCTTACATGGTGGAGCAGTCCAGAAACTGCTCCCATCACTGACCAGTGTAGCCCAGAAAGCATACATACATGGGATCCTCCAGGCTTCTGCATAGATTACATTTCCTGGATCTGAGATGGTCATTTTCTTTCCCAGGGTCTTGTTCCTACTCTCCCAGATTCCCAGAAAGTGGAAACATGCCAAAGGTTAGAACATGCTGGCCCCATGTAGCGACTCTGCTCAGATCAGCTGGACTTGCCACAATTTCCTGTTGGTCAGACCCAGGAAGGGTAGCCCCATCCACTATGATTTCAATGGACTCAGAATTTATAGTTAATTGAAGCATTGGCCCATCTTTTTGGAGGACACTTGTGCTGGGGTCTAGAGAGGAACTTTTGTTAGCCAAGCCAAAACCAAGTCAATAATCTTGGGACACCCTGACTCAGGGACATGGAGAGCAGGCATGGAGCAGGGGGCGCCCCTCAGTGTGCCCCCTCATCATCTCATCCAGGCTTTGCTTTCCTTGGGGAGAGAATGATTCACTCACCCGCCTTCATTTATGTAGAAGGCAACCTTCTTAATACACCCTTCTCCCCATAGCTTTCCCTCAGAAGGCTTGGAGAGAGAAGCATATTGTTCACTCACTTTTATTTTCTTAAACTCTGAAAAGGGGAGGCTAGGCCAGAGTGAAGGGGGAGGAGACATTCCTGTGGCCTTCTGAAGGCCAGAGACCCTCATGTGGAATGCCAGGCCAGGAAGCTCACAGCAGCAAGGGATACAGGCAACTGGCCAAAGTCAACACAGACACATTCTTTTCATGGTAGAAGCAATTCTCTCTCTCTCTCTCTCTCTCTCTCTCTCTCTCTCTCTCTCTCTCTCTCTCTCTCTCTCTCTCTCTCTCTCTCTCTCTCTCTCTGTGTGTGTGTGTGTGTGTGTGTGTGTGCACACGCGCACATCTAGGAGCTCATGTAGGGCAGAGAAACGGGCTGTGGAGAGGAGTAGGGCTCCTCGAAAGGCAGTGATATCAGGGAGGTAGTGAGGGGATAGAAGGAGAACTGGATCAGGAAGGCAGGGACAGGGTCTAGCTGAAGCAACATGGGGAGCTGGAGACCCTGATTTAGTTGTGCAGGGGTACAGGTGGGAAAGGGGGAGCCTATAGGAGCAAAGTTTCCAGTCCTCTGTGGGGGGAAGTGCTCAGGACAAAGGAGGAGGAGTTGGAACTGATGGGTGTTATGCATGGGAACAATGTCCTGTGAGACAACAAAATGTCACCTCAACTGTTTCTCACTGTTTCACACACAACTCCCTGTTCCCCATCCCCTCACCTCCCCCCATCTGTCAAGACTTGCAGCCCTTGGGAGAGGCATCCCTGGGGTCTGTGGCTGAGGGAGGTAAGGCTCTTCCTCATAGCCACCACATCCTAACTTGCAACATGCTATCCTGGTGTGCCCATCTTGGATGATAATGTCCCAATTTAATTTTTCCATCACTCTGGCCAAGACCTTGTCATCTCTAGTCTAGATTCCTGGCATTTCTGGCCCTCTGGAGATATCCACAGGAATGCCAGGGAGCTCTTTCCCAGGAACATGGTTCATGATGTCTCCCTCATAGGATTGCCTTTGGGGTCAGGCAGACCCAGTGACTGATATTCCTGGCCCTACCATCATGTGGCCTGTGGGCAAATGAGAAAGGGTACTGTTTTTATCTCATGGTGCAAAATGGGAAACGTAGCTCAACTGAGTTAATGAGCGAATCCTGATAACAAAGAACACATGGGGAACACCACTGATAATAACTAACCTCACATTCTTAAGACTTTCTACGTGTCCGTCACTGTTTGGGGTACTTTATACATATCAGATCAGCTAATCTTCACAGTTCTTTGGAATGGGCATTCATGGTTGTCCTCATTTTACAGATCAGGAAACTGAGGTCAAAGAATTCAATAATCTGCCCCATCACACAAGTAGAAGTTCGAAATTGAGCAATAGGTTCTCAAATATCACTCAGTGAGGTTCCACCCCCCTCAAGGTCCCCAAGTCTACAATTCTGACAAACGCTCCCTATTATCTACCCCAGAGGTGTAGGGAGGAAACTCTGGGTCCCTAGGGAATTTCTCTAGCCTTTATGAATATTGGACCACAGAGAAAATCCCAAGCACAAAGTCTAGTGTGATAAAATATCGCAGGAACTATTAATGGTCTTACCTATATTTCCTTTTCTCATTTAAAAATTATTATTAGTATTAGTAGTAGTAGTATGTGCATGTGTATGTACGTGGGGGATACATGTGATTTGTGTTCATGGGTATGTGTGTGCTACAGCAGCACATGTAGAGGGGTCAGAGGATAATTTGTGGAGTTGGTTTTCCTTTTCCACCTATACATGGCTTTCAGAGATTAAACTCAGGTCATCAGGCTTACATGGCAAGCTCTCTGCCCATTAAGCCATTTTTCTAACCCTTGACTATATGTTCTTAATCCTTGCCACATGCTATACCTTACTACATTTTGGGGATGGTGTATATGTGTGGGAGTGTGTGGGTGCAAGCACGTGTATACATGTATGTATGCACATGTGTGCACTATGTGTGTAGAGGCCAAGGTCAACCTTCCTTGGGAACTGTCCACATTTTTTACTGAGACAGGTTCTCTCATTGTACTGGAATTCATCATGGAGGCTAGGCTGGCTGGCTAGTGAGCCCCAGGGATCCTCCTATCTCTGCTTCCCCAGTGCTGGGATTACAGGTGCATGCTATCATGCCTAACTTTTTTTCCCACATGGGTTCTAGGGATCAAACTCAGGCCCTCATGCTTGTGTGGCAAGTACTTTAGCAACTGATCCATCTCCTCAGTATCTAACTTGCTACATTAAAACTTTTGCATGTATGTGTTGCTGCACATGTATGGAGGTCAGAGGACAAGTTGCAGGAATCAGTTCTATTCTCCTAGCATTTAGGTTCCAGGGATCAAACTCAGGTGGTCAGTACCATGGCAAGTGTCCTTACCTGCTGAGCCATCTCATCCCCTAACTTCCTACATTAAAAATACTAATTATACATTGCAACATTTGAACATAATAAAACATATTTTTGCTTATGAACAATGATCTTTCCACATAGCCTCTGGCTTTAGGCTCTGGAAAGGCATTGGACTGCTACGTACGCCTGGCCTCTGGTTTCCTCGCTCTCCATCATGGAGCAACACATGAGATAAGAGCTGCCTAGAACAGTTATCAGGAGCTTTTTACACTGCTACTGGTGGCAGTAAAGCATTAATAACTTGGACATGCTAGCAGGCCCAGGAGACTATGAATGGGAAAACTCATGGTACACGTGTCCACCTAGATTAAGTCAGAGGGAGAAGGGCCTTAGAGACCACATCAGACAAGCAAATTGCATCATAGACCAGGTGAATGATTTCCACAAGTGGCACAGCTATTTAGAAGCAAACCAGATTTCATTAGAGGTTAGAACCTGTCTTTCAGTTCATCCTCCAGATCTGTAAACATTTACTGGCTACACATCCTAATAAGCCACATCTAAAACTCTCACAGGGCAACACCATCTCTCTCCTTTACCTTTCTCCATCACATCCCCTAGCACATAACTCCTCACAAAGCAGAGCTCAACCTGCCTGGCCAGACGGTCCACCATAGGAAAATGTACCTAATGAATTATGGACCATTTACTCAACAGTCTCTCCTGTACTTAGCTGCTCTTCCTCCTGAAACCTGAGCTCACTGTAGCTCAAAAACACTGTAAGTTATGAATTCCTCATGAGGGAGTCCAACAGGCCCATGCAGGACATCTGAGTGGAGCCATTGGCCCCACCTCCAAGTTGGCATCTATATGGTTACTGTGAAAGTATAGCTATGGGTCAGGCTACTGGAAACCAGTGGCCACATTGTGTTTGCCTCAGGGACCAAGCCGCTGGTCCTCTAAATAGGTCTGCCCATCCAATTGGACAAGGGGAAGGGCATTGTGTGAATGTTCAATTAGCTAGACCTTCTGAGACATAACGCATCTCCCAGCTCATGAGAATCCAACAGAGCAATGAACTCCCATGTGAGAATTGGTGATTTTTTTAGTGACTAATTCAAGGACTCTCACTACAGGTGTAGAAATGTGGTCCGTGCATATAGCTCCTTTGGGAGAATGTCAAGATGGTTACATCTTGCCTTCAGGCTCTTCAAGCCACTGCACATGTCACTGCGGTCTTCATAGAGAACTGGAAATGAGCCCAAGCTCCTGTTTCTGTCTTCCACCGTTCCTCAAATCGACCCTATCCTGGAAATTCTTATCCGGAAGTCACCCTGCTTGGCCAGGCTCCAATGCCTGCTTCTGTCTCTGCCTCTCTCTGTGTCCGTCTCTTTCGTGGTATGCACATATGAGTGTGCAAGTACATGTGCCCATGCACTCACATTCAGAGGCCAGAGCAGGACATCAGGCATGTTCTCTATCACTTAAGACAGGGTCTCTCACTGAACTGGAAGCTCACCAATCTGGCTAGGCTAGCCAGAAAGGTCCCAAAATCCTCTTGTCTCTGTCCCCCAATACTGAGTTTACAGGCAGGAATGGCAATGCCCAGCTTTTTGTGTGGGAGCTGGGGGTTCAAACTTGGATCCTCATGCTGTCAGAGCGAGTACTCTTACCCACCGAGCCATCTCTCAGGCTCTATCTGCGTCCAGTCACCCTTAGCACACACAAGGTTCATTAGCATGTGGCTTTGCCAACAGGCACATGACCTGTGTTCAAATGTCTCTCCTGATGCTAATGTCTCCCCAGAGGACAGCAACCTGACTCCAGCAAACATATCTTCAGTTCCCACCATGTTCGTCCTAATGCCCCACCAGAGCGAGCCAGGGGACCTGGGCAAAGCACAAGTGCAGGATATGACCCTGCTGTGAAGAGCAGGGCTGGAGAAGTAGAGCTGCCCAAGCCTTTTGGAGCCCAGAAGATTGAGAGTGAATCCCAGACTTCCGATACTGAGCTATTTAGACCGTTTGGCTTTGATTTTGCTTTGATCTGATTGTGCCCTGATTCCTCCCTCTTAGAGTAAGAAGCATTTAACTTGTTTTTCATTTTACAGGAGCCCACAGTTAGGAGCCTTTGAATTATTTTAAAGAGAAATTGAGCTTTTAAAATATTACAATTTTTATGGGCTGGAGAATTGGTTCAGTGGTTAAGAGCACTGGCTGCTCTTGAAGAGGACCTGGGTTCGATTCCCAGCACCCACATGGAGGCTAGCAAACATTCATAATTCCAATTACAGGGGAATCTGACACCCTCTTCTGACCTCCTCAGGCACTGAATGACACGGGTGCACTTACACACATGCAGGCAGTACACTCATACACATAAAATAGAAATAAAATATTAAAATATTGGAATTTTTAAGGACTGTGGAACTTTTAAAATTGTACTACGCTTTATATTATAATATTAACATCTTGATATGTTTGGGTATCAACTTGACAGGGGTCAATTGTATTAGATGGCTTTGTCAACTTGACACTCCTGGGAAGAGGAGCCTCAACTGGGGGATTTCCTCTATCAGATTGGCCTGTGGCCATGTCTAGGAGGCATTTTCTTAATTGTTGAGTGCTGTGGGAGGATCCAGCCTATGTGGGCTGTGCCACCCATGGGCAGGTGGTCCTGTGTTATTTAAGAAAGCGGGCCAAAGGGGCTGGAGAGATGGCTCAGCGATTAAGAGCACTGACTGCTCTTGCAAAGGACCTGGGTTTGATTCCCAGCACCCACATGATGGCTACAAACCGTCTTTAACTCCAGTTCCAGGGGAATCCGAAGCCCTCTTCTGACCTCCGCAGCATTGCATGGCATGGGTACCCTCACATACATACAGGCAATACACTCATACACATAAAAAAATAAAAATATTTAAAAAAAGAAAGCGGGCTGAATACAGTCTAGATGAGCAAGCCAGGAAGCAGCTTTCCTGCAGCAATCCTCCCTGGTCTGTGCTTCAGCTCCTGCCTCCCGGTTCCTGCCCTGAGTTCCTGTCTAGGCTTCCCTCAGTGATGAATTTGTAATGGGGGATGTGTAAGCCAAATAAACCCTTTCCTCCTCAAGCTGCTTTTGGTCAGAGTGTCTTATCACAGCAACGAAAAGCAAACCAGGACACGTACCCATGCACTCCAACTGCTTACCTCATTCAGCTTGACCCAGTTGAAGGACTTCAGCGGGTGGGAAGGCTGGGGGACACGCTTCTTCCTGAGTGGGGCATTGTTGTTGGGGAAGGGGTCCTGAGCCAGAGGCGGGCCCATGCTGAAGCAGGGCGGGACACCCAGGGGGATGGGAGGCCCTCCGGGAGGGGAGGGGTGGTGGGGGGGATGGGGAATGGAGGCAGGTCATTGGTTGTTGTGGAGGATGACAAGGTGAGTGGGCCTCCGGGAGGAGGCGGGGCAGACACAGGGCCTGTCTGGGAAGATAGAAAAAGCAAAAGACCACACCCATCAGTCCTGATGCCAACCAAGTTACCCTTGCTCTTCATCTGTACTGGACCCATCAACCCTGCTTTTAACTTTCACATTCATTTATTTAGAAGCCATTTTTCTCTCTCTGCATCCCAAGTGCCCAACAGGTGGGTGCACACACACACACACACACACACACACACACACACAGGGTTAAACACACAGTTACTAGACAATCAGATTCACAGCTGCCACAGTGACACAGTGGGATGGGTGTGTACAGTTGTGCAGGCTACTCACTGCGCAAGGGCATCTGGCCCAGCAGAGTGGGATGGAAAGTCTACCTGTGCCCTGCTGTCCAATATATGCCTCCTGGGTATCACCCGGAGGAAGGGTCCACCCATACAGACTCAAGACCCCCTTCAGTTGTGGGCCAACTCTCTTGTCTCCCTCATCTTAGAGTTCTTTTTTTCTCCCTCCACCTGCTCTGCCCACCTGGTCCTGGAACTCAGAGTGTAAGCTGAGCTACATAAATAGGAAGGGGGTGATGCCCGCGTACTGAGATTTCAGTGAGTTGGGCTACCAGCTCTGCCACTTGTCCCCGAGCCTGGCGAAGCTCCTGAGACTCCCGGGCCAGCTTGTCCTTCATCTTGTTCAGGGTCCGCATCATCTCTTCCTTTTCCAATGTTTTTGTCTCACATTCCCGTTCCTTTCTCTCCAGCCGGCTCACAAGCTCCATGTGTTCTGGGGCAAGAGAGCAAATGGGAGGAAAGAGGGTGAACAGGTGCAGGGGAGCTGGGGGTTCTAGGCTAGGCGGGGAGCAGGTGTGGAGAGTGAGCATGTTATCGGGTTTCGGCAGAACCTCTCACCTTTCCGGAACTTCTCTGCCTGGTCCTGCCACTGTTTCACTTCATTCTCATTGATGAGCCTGGTGGGAAGTAGAGGGAAGCAATCACGTGATTGTTGACTGTCAAGCCCACCTTCTTCAGGAAGATATGCCCTCTCTTTACTCCCCAGGGTGGACTCTGATCTCTGAGATTGAAGATGCTAGATGGAGGGCTTCTCAGATGCCTCTCTGGGTCTCCATTCCCACCCAGTTCCCAGTCTATATCCACATGGGGCTGAGACTGAATCCAGGGTCTCCTGTAGTCCCATAAGTACTTACACCTTTGTAGAAATAGGCCCATGCATCTGAGGGCCAGAGATATCAGTCCACCTATGAAGCAGGCTTCTAAAGGCCAGTGTGTAAGAACAGGGTGAGCTGCCCACCCAACAGTAATGAAGGAGCAAAATTGAGTGTGAGGCCTAGGAGATCTCATTCACAGCAAACTCTTCTAACAGGTGTTAAGAATCCTCAGACACCAACGTCTGTCCATAAAGGGTAAGGTCCCAACATGAGAGCCATTTGAATGACTTAAATCTGTGACATTTGGCTTCAAGGATATAAAGAGGGGGCACATAAGGAGGAAGGGGGGAGTATTCGGTGGTTACAAAATATATTTATATTTATTATTTATTTAGTGCAGGGGCATGTAAGTGACAGTGCATATGTGGAAGTCAGAGAAGACAACCTTTGAGAGTCTGTTCTTTTACTCCACAATGTGGGCTCTGGGAAGCCCTCAGAGTCATCAGGTTCAGTGGCAAGCACCTGTCTTCACTGAGCCATCTCACTGGTTCATGGAGATATTTCTGTGCAGTTGTTACTATGATCCCTGGACTGCTACCATCTTTACCAGCCAACAAACGGTTTCTTTGGACCCAGAGATTTGATCCATGCTCTCTGATACTATGAGGGAGGCAAGGTAGACTGAGGTCCTACTCAGGGTCAGGCAAACCCAGAGGGTAAAGGAGGAGTAATCAGTCTGCACAATGTGGATGTGCTGGGACATGTTGTCACCCCTAGAGTTTGATGATGCAAGAGCTTATGTGAGTGAACCAGGGGCCACTTGGGACTCTCCTGGAGGAAGTGAGCAGATGCTAGTGTAGATATGCCCAAGGGATGACCTAGGAGATGACTGGGAACATCAAACTGTAGGTTGGTGCCTACTGGACTATTACTGATCAAGTGACCATGTTCTGTATCGATGGCCACCAAACCTTCTGTAAAGAACCCATGTTATTATTTAGGGCTTGATGTACCATGTGCAGTGGCTGTCGCATAGACTTGTGTTTGTTCTTTTAAAGTATAAGAACTGGGGCTGGGGAGGCAGCTTAGTGGGTAAAGTACTTTTTTCACAAGCATGAGCACTTGAGTTCAATCCCCAGAAACCATGTGAATGCCAAGTGAGGTGGTGCACACCTGTAATCCTAGCACTGGGCAAAGCAGAGATAAGGTTCAGGGAGGGGCCAGAAGCAGCTAACAATTTAGATGGGAAAACCTTTTGTGTGGCCCACCAGCTGGGTTTGACAGGGACAGGCACTCAGCAAGAAACTACAGAAATCCCAGTCAGCTACTATCTTTACCCATGTGCAGAGCCTGTCTACCATAGCACCAATCAATTAAGACCTTTTTCCTTCCTCTTTCCTGTTTTCTATCCCAGCTGCACCTGGAACGGTCAGAAACTAGTTAGCTAGCAGAGAGTAGAGCTGGGAGACAGAAGATATTATAAGAGAAACAGAGAAAAGAGACCAGTCATATCACATACATGCACTCATGCATGCACACACATGCACATAAGTTCATATACACCCTCTTTCTATTCCAACTTCTGGGCTCACAGCCAGAATGAGGGGAAACATTTAAGGTTAAATCAAGTCTCAAATGCTGATTCACACTGGGGATCAGGCCTCCTAGTCATGGTAGCTTAAAGTGATCTTAGGGTTTCTGCATCCCAAGAAAGGACAGAAACTTCACTGGACTCCAGGAAATGTCACTTCTGCCAGAGGAAAATTTTCTCCACTAAACAGTGTAAAGAATTTGCAGAAAAACCAATCTAAAACTGTCTTGTGATGACTTTCGTAGATGCACTTGTCCAACATGCCAGTTAGTTGTAGGGTTTGAACAAAATGAACGCATGGCTGTTTATGCAAATAAAACAAGAACCCGTCAGAGCCCATCTTCCACCTGGCTTTGGAATGCAAAACCAGGAATCACTGGAGCCACAGTGTCTCCACAAGAAAAACTCACTCCAACTCATATGAAGTTTAAATAAAATTCAAAAAATTAAAAATCACTGCATCAATGGAGGTCTTATTATTAGTTCATCGTTATAAATTTAAAAGTTGTTTCTCTGTTCTTTTGTATCCAAACTCAGTTAAAGGTGAAAAGTCAGAAGATCTTGGGCTCTCACAAGCTCATCCAACAGGACTGTGATCACATGACTGTGTCAGCGACCACAAAACCTTCTGTAAAGGGCCAGTGTTGATATTTTAGGTGTTATGTGTCATTCACAGTAGCTGTCTTGTGTTTGTTTGCCTGTTTTGAAGCAGGCAGAGCTGGGGAGATGGCTCAGTGAGTAAACTGCTTGCCTCACAAATGTGAGGACCTGAGTTCAATCACCAGAACCTTCACAAATGCTGGAAGAGGTGATGTATGCCTGTAATCCCCGCGCTGGGGAGGTGGAGGCAGGTGGATCCTCTGGGGCTTTCTGGCCAGCTAATCTAGTCTAATTGGTGAGCTCCAGGCTAATGAGAGACTATCTCAAATGAGGTAGACAGCATACCTTCAGGATGATACCAGAGGTTGTCCTGTGGCCTCCAAATGCATGTGCCTACACTTGTTCCCACACACATATGAACATGCATGGCAAACACATATGCATACACACCAATAAAAGAGAACTATTCTTGACTCATGGGACATACAACAGTAAGCTGAAGGATTGAGATTAGCCTGTGTGCCATAATTTACTGGCCAGGGCTCTATGTAAATTATTTAAAACCCCCTCTATGCAAGCCTTCCAGTGCATCATGAGAACTGAGAGTTGAGATTGTAGCTTATACACCCCTACTATCCCATATGGTCATCATTAGATCCATGACATGTGGTTATTCAAATTTATTTATTGCTTAAATATTTTAACTATCATTTTTATTTTATGTGTAGGAGTGTATTGCCTGCATGTATATAAGTGCACCCATGTCGTGCAATGCCCTGTAGAGGTCAGAAGAAGGGTCAGATCCTCTGGAATTGGAGTTACAGTTTTTAGCTGCCATGTGGGTGCAGGGAACTGAACCCAGGTACTCTGTAAGAGCAGCCAGTGCTCTTAACCATGGAGCCATCTTTCCAGCCCTGGTTATTCAAATTTAAATGAAAGAAATTTGGTCTCTTGGTCACACTAGATGTATGTGTCCAATACTCATTGACCACATAGGGTTGATCATCATGATTGCCAATGTGACATGATCCAGAATCACTGAAGAGACAAGCCCCTGGGTATGTCTATGAGGGAGCTTGTAGGAAGACCCACCCTAAGTTGCGGGTGGCATCATTCCTGGGCTGTAGACCTGGGCTGCAGAAAGAGGAGAAAGCAAGTCAGGAGGCAGCTCCAACTCACATATTAACTATGTTCTTGACATTGAAGTTCTCCAGTGGAGCCAGGTCAGGGTCCATGCCCCGCTCATCCTGAAGGACGATCTGCTGGAGGATGCGGTCCAGGAGCTGCCACTGCTGGAAGCCACCATTCCGTTTGTCTGGGGGACAAAAGGCATTATATATATACTGAGCCCTGGGGTCTCTGCGGTCCTTGCCCTGGCACAACTGCCCAGGCTCAGGTTGGCAAGGTGAGACTGTCCCTCTCTTAGGATGTTCCCAGTCTGAGGGATGAGGCAATCCTGGGCTGATGATGGAGACTCACCATCCAGTCTGACCTGCCATGGGTGTGTCAACTCTCCTAACATATTTCTCTATGATATGCAAAGCTTCCCCTTTCCTTTTGAGACTGAGTATACTATGCCCTGGGAATGTAAATTGCCTTTTACACTATTTATAAAAAGCACCTGTTTGAAAATATTATCTGCTGGATAAGGAAGTCTCGGGGGGGGGGGAATGTTTAAAGCAAGATTTCAGGATTATCTATGCTCTTGGTTTACAAAATAAGATGAATGGGAACTGATTACAGGTGTGCACTGAGAGGGTAAAATGAGTTAAAGAAATGCTGAATGGAAGCCAGGGAGGCTTCTTGGTGGGGATGATGTGGAGTTCTGAAGGCAGAGGCATCTTGTCTTTGAATTCTCTTTAATCACAGTCTGCCTAGATATGAATTTCATTTTTACACAATAGCCACTAATGCTCCCTCTTGGCCTTTTATTTTTAGTGACCACCAATAAAAGTAAATTTAATCCTGAAGTCCAATTCTGCCTACAAGCTGGATGATTGTGTCTTCAAATCCACACTTGGAGACAGAAGAGAGGAGACAGAAGAGAGGGACCCACTCACATCTTGATGGACCACCAAACAAGGAGTTACTAGGAGAGAAGAAGTCAGATTTCAGGGCCCTCCATATCTTCCATGAAGAGGTGGGCTGGGTTTGGGAATTTGTTTGTATGTATGTATGTATGTATGTATGTATGTATGTATGTATATGTGTGTGTCATGTATGTGCAGGTTCCCACAGAGGCCAGAAGAGGGCACTGGAAATGCCTCAACCTGGAATTAAATGCAGTTGTGATCTGCTCTATTTGAGTGCTGGAAACCAAACTCAGATCTTCTGGAAGGGCAGCAAGTTCTCCTAACTGCTGAAACATTTCTCCAGCCCCTGGGCTGAGTTTTGGCAAACTAATGGCTTCCTGGTCAGACTCACTGTCTTTATCTTCCTCTCCCCCACTGTACCAACAACTGCTTATGTCTCCATTTACTGTTCCCTAGGAATGCAGTGCAAAGCCAGGCTGATATAACATTTCATCTACAGCCTGACCCCAAGCCAGGAAAATGCCTTCTCCAAATAAAGAACTCAGTCTGAGATACCAGTACACACTCTTCATGTCATCCAGAAGTTCAGTGACAATGTGTTAAAGGCCATCCCATCACACCTGACCCAGAGCTGGAACATGAAAGATCGTAGTTCTCACCAACCTCGCCATCACCACGACTTTGGTGAACCTGACTAGGTTGATCATTAGAGGATCATGTGAATGTTCAAAATATGGTATTTTGTGAAAAACCAAAGAACCAAAAGCTTGGTGCAGCTAAGTTCATTTCAAATTGCATTCTGAGGGAAACTGTGAGGGATTACATGAAGTTCATCCTGTCCTTATGATGCATGGATCTTGAGAACTCAGCCACCTTCTCCTGAGATGCTACATGGTATTTATCACAAGGGCAGGAGTCAGTAAGCACTGCTAAAACTTAAAACCAAAATGGCTGGAGAGATGGCTCAGTGGTTAAGAATACTGGCTGTTCTTGCAGAGGACCCAGGTTCAGTTCCCAGCACCCACACAGCAGCTAACAACCATCTGTAACTCCAGTTCCAGGGGATCTGACGCCCTCTTCTGGCCTCCACAGGCATTGTATGCATGTGGTGCACTTATATACACGTAGGCAAACACTAATACACACAAACCCAAAATAAGTAAATAAGTAAAATTTTTAAAATTTAAAAACAGGAACAAAACAGAACTGGGGAGATGGCTCAGGCTGGTAAAGTGATTGTTGCACGAGCATGAAGACCCAAGTTCACTACCCAACATCCACATAAAGTGCTGGAGAGGCAGAGAGAAGAGGATCCCTGAGGGGCTCACTGACCTGCCAGGCCAGCCAGTCTCACTGAATCTTTGAATTTCAGGTTCAATGAGAAACTCTGTCTCAAAAATTAAGGTGGAGAGACAAACTATTTGGACCTCTGGCATCTATATACACGAGTACACATGTTGCTATATGCACCCAAACATAACACACACACACCACACAAACCAACATGATAATCTCACATCTGCTCTGCTCCTCAGAACATGAAACTTCCTTTTGCAAATGACTAGAAGACTGAATGCCCCTCTGTCCTGAGCTCACAGAAGATCCATATTGCAATGATTAAGCTACTGCTTCTTGAACTAGTAGGACATTGGAGTCGCTCCAGTCATGTCCTCAGCTCCTCCCCCTCAGGGTGACATGAGGCATCCTGTCCATCTCAAGGAGGGAGGAGCCTGAGTCATGGGGCCTGCCTCATGAAACATGTTGGACTCACCAGCCAGAGACATCCCAAAGGCTCACATCAACCTGGTCAACCTGGTCAATCAGGTCCCAGGCCCTTAAGAGTAGTGGCAAATGGGAGGATGGGGGTTACTCACAAGGCATCTGGAGGCAGTGGTGTAGCACAGAGAGCAGGCAGGGGTAGGCTTCGTTGTGCTTCAGCTTCTTGTGAATCAGCTCAAACATCTGGGAGGCGCTCTTTGTGTCGATGTGGACCTGGGGGAGTTTAGGCCACAGGGAAGGGGAGGGCCAAGACAGCACAGAAAGATACTAGGGTCAGATGACCCTCTTTCCATCTTCCCAGTCTCCCTTCCTCCCATGAGAGCTTCCTTCCCCTGCCTCTCACCCAGGCTCAAAAGGAGAAAGACGGAAAAAAGCAGAATAGTGAGATATTATATACAGGAGGAGTTCAGATCTCAGCACTACTAGTATCTTGGGGAAGATAAATCTTTGTTGCGGGGGCTGTTCCATGTCTCGGAGAATGTTTAGAAATATCCCTAGCCACTGCCCACTAGATGCCAATGGTATCCTCCCTCTTCCCTCCCCAAGTTGTGACATCTAAAAACATCCTCAAACAAGTGCCCCATGGAGAGGGAGGGTGAATAAAAGCACTGCTGGCCAGGAACAGCTGGTCTGTACTAAGGGGATGAAGTGGGCATAGCACTTTGAAGTAGCAGGTGGCCTGTAGCCTAGGCCACCCCCCTGGGTGCAAGTCCTAGATCTACTCTAGCTCTGTGACAGCTGGCAAGCTGCTCACTCACATTCTCCAACCTCGGTTTCTTTCTTCGTACATTAGTCTTTGGGAGAGTGCTGTGGGTGGTTCTCAGTGCCTGTCAAGTTCTACTCCAAAGAAGGTTGCCACTGAGGTAGGAGTAGGTCACACAACACATGGGCAACAACAGAAGTGTGTGTTTTCAGGACTGCTGGGGCTCTGATGAAAATATGATTTGGTTTGCTAAGCAGCCTCTCTTCAGGGATGGAGAGAGGTGGCTTGGGAAATTTCTGGAAGCAGAGGAAAGCTGGCTCAGGAGAAGCATTTGAGACCAAGCATGTGCAAGAAGGACCTGGCTATCTTTCTTTTGGGCCTGATAGTCTCCTTAGGAGTAGACAACCAGGTATGGTCAATGAGGTGAGGTCCCCAGAGCCAGCTCACCACCATCAGACATAGGACCTGGCCATAGGGTGCCACTGAGGATCTCGTCAGCACTAGACTGTCCCTGAGCACAGGGTCTAGAGAGGTGGTTGTGGGGCTGCCTGAGATCCCACACACCTGCGCCATTCCCACAGGCACCTCACCATCCTCACCATGTCAAACCTCCGGGCTAGTTCCAGGTCATCCTCATTTCGGACCATCTCAAAGAAGTCTAAATGCCTAGATAGATTGGGAGAGAGAGAAAAGAGATGTTACAGCTAGGACATCCCTGGTGGATGGGTCCAGTTCCTCTAATACCACACCGGTTATGTCTCAAAGCTTCATTAAAGTGCACGTTAGGCAAGACCAGAAAAAAAGCTACCATGGTTTTCCTTCAGGGTGTTCATCTCGAGGTCCAACCACCTAAATCTGTTTCTCAACTTTGGCATTATTATTATTTAAAAATGTTTTATTTATTATTTTTATTTTATGTGTATGAGTATATTGCCTGCATGCATGGAAAGCCCCAAGTGTGACATTATTGACATTTTAGGCACAGGTGTCCTTGGTGGTAGAAGGCTGCACTGTGTGCTACAGACTATTTAGCAGCATCCCTGGCCTCTTCTCATAAGATGCCAGTAGACCCCCTGCTCCAAGCCAGGCATGATGGATCAGTCCTGCAGTCCCAGAACTCAGGAGGCTGAGGTAGAAGGATTGTGAATTAAATACCAGCATGGGCTATATATTGAGTTCTGGGATAGCCTGGGCTACAGTGTGAGAGGTTGTCTTAAAAAAAAGCAGCAGCCATGCTCCAAAGTGTAGCAATCAAAAGCATCTTTAGGCACTGCTGGGTGTCTCCTGGATGATAAAATCACTCACCATCAAGGACCACTGTCCTCCATCTGTCTTCCCCAGTGTCCACAAACCACCCCGAACTCAATCCTCAAATCTTTCCCTTATTTTCTACACCAATTGAAACATACCTCCCCTTCTACCTTAAAACAATCCATTCCCCCCCCCTCCTCGTCCTCCTCGTCCTCCTCTTCTTCCACTACCTGCTGCTGCTGCTGTTGTGTATGCGTGTGTGTATGTTTGTGGTATGTCTATGGCACATGCACACGTGGGTATGTGTGTTCTTAGAAGAGGATGTCAGATGTCCTGTTCTAGTGCTCTGTCTTATTTCCTTGAGAAAGTCTTTCATTGAACCTGGAGTAAGGCTGGTGATGGCAGCTGATGATCCTTCTGTCTCCAACCCTACAGTGCTGGTGTTACAGGACCCCATGTGGCCACACCTGGCTTTGTATGTGGGTGCTGGGATCTGAACTCAGATCCTCATGCTTGTACCACAAGCACTCTTACCTGTTGAGCCATCTCCCCAGGCCCTCCAGCCACTCTTCTTAAAATGTGGTGTAATAAAGCCACTTGAACCGATGGTACAGAACCAGTGAGATGCACTAGTAACTTACACATAAGAGTTTGTGTCCTTTGATTGGCAGGGTATTTATAGCATGCATTTTGCATGGAGTTCTCTGTAGAGCCAAGACACTTAGCATTCTTGCTCCCAGAACAATACCAGTGGGGCTCTCCCCAACAGCTAAAAACCAAAAGATACCCCCACCCAATCATCATCACCATCATCATCATCTCTTCTACAATATCATTACCACCACACCACCATCATCACCACCATACCATCATCACCAACATCCTCATAATCCCCAAAGGCAAGACTCCCTTGACTGAGAACCACTGGATTCACCTGTCTATAACATCAAGGATGATCCAAGCAGATCAGCAGAGAACACAGGCAAAGTGCACCTACCCACACAGAGCTGACGCTAGGCTGGGATGGCAAAGGGACCCAGGGGAAGCACACTAAGGTGCTGGCCACCCCCAGCGGAGGTGCTGCCCCTGAAGGTGTGCAGTGGGGCTGAGCGGCTGGGGCCTTACTTGTCCAGGATGGCGTTCTCATGTTGCCGGAGTTTGTCGATAACTGGCTGAATTCCCAGCATCAGGAACTCATACCGGAGATGCAAGCGGAACTCCAGGTTATCCTGAGGGTCACCAAGGGAGGACCAGATTCAGTGGCTGCTCTCATGTTCACCAGAGTCACCCATAGACTCTCATCATCTTTCCCAGCCACAGTCCCATGTCATGTTCCTAGCAATGTCACCTGGAGTCACTTCCAGACTCAGAAGTCCCAAGGAAGGACTGAAGAAGACCTTGCTGTTTCTCTAAAGCAAGCCTGCCAGCCTGTTCCTGTTAGCCCTCCTGCATCACTTCCTTCCAGTTCCTCAGTGTTTGATTGGCCTCTTGTATCAAAGATCAATGTTATATAATAATACAGCAGGCGCTTGGTCTACATCCCAGCTCTGCTCCCTAGTTTTGTGACTCTGACAATACCTTTGTTTCCTCATCTGTAAAATGGACTTATTATTATTCACCTATGAGAGTAGTATTTCAAAAATTTGTGTGTCGTAGTATGACTACTAATGGACCAGAACAAACGGCAGACATAAGAGATGCTACTGACAAAGGTAATGTCAGCATCTGAGGGATGGGCTTATTCAGTAGTTTATCTGATCTAATTCGGACCATGAGAACTGCACACAGGAAAGTGTGCTGGTAGGAGAGGAAAGAGCAGAGACCATTAGCTCCCTTGCCCCCTTTCTCCTTCAGGTTGACTTTGATGGAGCATCTGATTACCTTAGAACTTAGGACTTCAACTATCTTCAAGTTCTTCTAACATTACAGATTAATGGCCTGGGAATCCCATTCTGAACCCAAAGGAAGGAAAAAAAAAAAACCCAAAAACAAAAAAGCAAAAGCCACACTTTCTAACAGAAGGTTCTAGAAAAACATGACTAACCAACCTACAAAGAAGCCCAAGAGCAGGTCTCTAGAGAGCTCTGGAAAGAAGGTCCAAAAGTTGCCCTCCTCATATAAAGCATTCCCCCACCCCCAGAGCCATCACCTGCCAACCTTACGGAGGATTTGTATCTCACCCACAATGCAACATGCTACCTCTGAAGGAAACCGCCCAGAGCCTCCTTAGGCTTAGATAAAAACCAAAGGGAATGGTGTGGGGAAGCAAAGTAAGAATCAGTCCTCACCACAGCTTTGAAGAGCCCCTGATGAGATGGAAAGTGTGTCCCAGGCAGCCGGGGTGTGGCAGACAGGGTGTTACCCTCAATGTAATGAGCTTAGGCTCCTGACAAGCTATTCTTTTATGGACCCAAGTGGAGGAGGTAAGATGTTGTAAAAACAACCTGAAGGTGATGATGGAGGTAGCAGTCACATCACCAGGTGACTTGGCCCCTCTCTCTGCCACTTGCCTGGGAAATGCTTGTATTCACAAACTACCCCAGGCCCAAAAATTAAAAAAAACAAAAACAAAAACGAGGCCTCACCTCTCCAGCCCCGGCATTGAGGACGGCATTGATGAACGACATGATGGCTGTTTTCAAGTTCACTTCATCCCGGTACCGGCCCAAGCTTCGGTCTAGCTCATTCAGCAGGGTCTGGTGGGAAGACAGGACAGGGTGAGGGTAGGGTCTTCGGATGCTACCAGAGCCTCTTCTGCATCTTTGTTCCTGGCATTCCGACCACCTAGGAAGCCCTGTCCATCCTTTCTGCCTCACCTCGCCTGCCTCTCCAGCTTACCTTGACCACCCCAAGGAGCCTCCTCTGCCTCTCCACATCTCAGTCTCAGGCACATCTTCTGCAAAGGGCCAGGGGCTACTTTCTACACAAGCTAAATATTCATTTACAAATATTTGATGCCAGAATAAACAGTCTACCCTGGCTCTTAAATCAGAGTCTGCAATGTCAGTTCATATCTACTGGGCACTGTGATAAGACACTTTAGACTTAGGGCCTATTTCATGTGAATTTCTCTTGGCCGGTCAGAAAGAAGGAAGATTAGCATGGTCTGCATTCCCAGGGCTGGGCTCAGTGTCCTCAAAGGGCACTCTCCCAGACCTAAAATCCTGACCTCAGCAATTGAATGTACTCAATTCAACAATTCTCATCTGAGCTCCTGATGAGCTGAATCCTGGATTCAGAGCTCACTGCTGGGTTCAGAGAGACAGAGCCACCAAAAATGAAGCAAAATTAACATCCTAGCTTCCAGAAAACCATGGTCTAGTGAGGAGCGCAGTTCTATCTCGAAAGCCAAGCCACCTCTCCAAAGGTTTCTCGTGTCTTTTGAGGGAACCCTCTGTGTCCTAGATCTATCTTCTTTCCATGAGTCAGCAGGCAGCCTGCAAGATGCCCCTTTCCCTATGGGTTCTTTTATGTCGTTCTCAGTCCTTCACCATTCCAATCCATCACCTCTGTCCCCTCCAGCTAGCGCCCCAACCTTCCAACCAGCTGCTCACCTGAAAGCGCGTGCGTTCCGCTGCATACACCTGGTAATGTAACATAGCCTCCAGCACCTTCTTATGGCCTCCAGGCACGAGGCACACAGCACCCAGGATCTCCAGCACCGCCACCTTGGTCTTGCTGTTCTCTGTGCGCAGACTCTGGGCGATGGTACTGATGGCCTCAGGCTGTGCCAACACGTGTGCCCGCCCCTGGGAGTTGTTCATCAGTGCCTTGATGCAGCCGATGAGAGAGGTGTGGATGCGGCTCTCACACGTGGCGTGGTCCATGCTCCGGAGGAAATTCAGTAGACAGGTCAGGCCCTCTAGCTCTATGAAGCGGGTCACAAACCTACCAGGCAGAATTGTTAGTGAAATCAGTGTATTGTGTTTGTATTCCAAGCACATTCTGCAAACAGCTACCCAATACTGGAGTACCCATTCAGCATGCTCCCTTACAGAAGCCACTTGGCTTATCTATTTACATACTTATTTATTTATTAATATTTTATTTATTATTTTTAACAGCATAGCATAGGGGTTTATTTACAGAAGAGTGGGCAGCTGCATAGTAAAGTCCACACTCAAATACAGATCCCATGACCTCCCAACAGCCTCAAAAAATGGTGAGAGAGGTGCCTCTTGGTGTTCTTTGCCCCTCCCCCCATGCAGCTAAGATACACCAACTGGGTGGGGGTGGGGGGTAACTGATTCCCCCCTCGACTCCTTGGTGAGCGTGGGAAGGCGGTGTAACTATAGCTTGCTGGCATAGTGGTCGGGGGACATTTCCAGTTAACTCACCACCCCCCCTTGGCTCATTTACATAGTTTGTACCTAACACTGATACTTTCAGAAGACTCCTTTTAGTTTATTTTTATTATTCTGTAGTGTAAATGTGTTCCTGTGTATGTGCATGTGTGTGTGCATGTGTGCTGATGCCAGAGCTTAATGTGTGCTGTCTCCCTTTCCTTCTATCACTCACCACCATAATTTATTTTTTATTTATGTATTTATTTATTTTTACTATTGTGTGGTTTATTTTTAAATTTTTTTGTGTATGAGTGTACTGCCTGCATGCATGCAAGTGATCCTGTGTTGTGCAATGCCTGCAGAGGTCAGAACACTGTGTTGCATCCCCTGGAACTGGAGTTACAGATGGTTATTAGCTGCCATGTGGGTGCTGGGAAGCAAACCTGGGTCCTCTGCAAGAGCAGCCAGTGCTCTTAACTGCTAAGCCATCTCTCCAGCCTCTAGGACCTTGTATTTAGTGGCATTATTTGGGCAGGTTGTGGGGACTTTGGAGATGGGTCTGGCTGGAGAAAGTGGGTCATACTGCTGGAAGGTAATACACTCTCTCTCTCTCTCTCTCTCTCTCTCTCTCTCTCTCTCCCCCCCTTCTCTGTCTTTCTCTCCCTCTCTCCCTGTTCACCATGAGGTAAATAAATTCTGTCACATGCTCCCATCACCAGGATGGTCTGCCTCACCACAAGCCCAGAACCACATAGTCTAGTGACTATGGACTGAAACCATGAGCCAAAATAAGTGTTTTCTTCTTTAAATTGCATTTCTCAGTTATTTGGTCTCAGTACTATAAAGATAATTAGCACACTGAATTTGTGTACTACTGTCATTTGCGTATCTAAACTGGAAAGGTGGGGGAGATAGGACTGTAATTATCATGGCTGGTCAACCTGGAGACTTCTCTCCAATGAGATTGGGAATCAGAGAGACTTATAGTCAGATGACCAGAAGCACTTCTAGCTGAGGAGTCCATCAGACTCAGAGGCAAGGGACCTAGGCTCAAAAGCTAAGTTTCCCAAGGAGATCCTTGGGAAAACAGAGTTATCCTGAATGTTATCAGAAAACATTATAACCATTCAGTCATTCTTAACCCATGTTCCCATAAAGAGCCTCAATGCGAAAAGAGAATTACACTTTGCTTTTGGATAACCTCTAAATGGAAATTAGCATTTCTATCAATGATGAATGAGGGTTCTAAACAACAGTGGTATTAGCAGAATCTGAGACTTTCACCCAAAGAAATCATTGCTATTTTCATATCAAATTATAGATGCTGCAGGTATTTCCAAATCATTTTCACCCATTGCTACTTCAAGATTATAGTGGTTATCAGACCTGCCGCCGGCTCTCGCTGTTGAAGCATAAAAACCTCATTTATTGCCAGCTCATGCATTTTTAATATTTGTGAGCTATATTTTAATTGAATTGGTTTATTTCTCAGGCCTATCTATTAGTCTATTTTATGTTGTTATTTAAAAGCATCATTTCCAAAAAGCAATGTATAGGTTTTATCTGGGTATCTGGATGTGTACTGAATCCTTAATTTAGTTGCAAAATTAATGAGCTGAGAAAATGGTCATGAATTGAGGTTCAGGAACCACTATATATAATTAACATGTAAACGTATCACGCATTTTATATTGTTGTGCAAATATGCCTAGATCAAAAGACTATGCTCCCAAATTAAGCTAACAGTAGGCATTTTTCTCTTTTCTCCCTATTATATGCTTGTCCATATTCCACAACATTTCTGCAATGATTTTGGCTTGAAAAGAAATGTACCATAAACTATCACCGCCATGGACCATGGGCTATAAACCTAAGAACACACCTAACAGTAAAGAACACCCGTGATAGCGAAATGCAGAAAAATAATTAGTGGTCTATTCCAAAAATTGTGAATGAATGTTATTTATTTAATCACAAGTTTATATAATTTAAAGTGGACTGAAATCTAGGTTTAAGGACCAGTTGTAAGACTGCTTGAGGATTTAACAGTCGGCTTGCCCACTGGTAAAAGCCACTTCAAGCACACTACTGGGCAGAACCAAAAGCCAGGCACTCTTGTGGCTCTTGGCCCTCTTTGGACACTGCACACTGTGAGGAGCAGTACTGTAGTGGCCTTTGGAACATCCGAACATCCATCCATGCATCCATCCTTCCTGCATAGTTCCCATTCTAGATGACCAGATCACACCCATAGACCCTACATCTCCCTCTAGTGGTTGTATGATTTCTCAACCCCTGCCCCACTCATTTACTGGGCTCTCACCCTGCTGGATCTTTCTAAGAAAGCCCTTTCTTATGTACCACAATCCCTCAGTTCCTCTTTACAGAACTCTTCAGGACCCAACGTTTACCTACTTTGTGGTGTCATCCCCCCTCCTCCTCTTTTACTCACTTCTTGCAGCCTCCCCGCCACTCACGAAGCAACTGGACTCAGGGAATGCTGGACGTGGTCCAACAGGACCAGCATGGGACAGGGCACTATGTAAAGCTTCAGGTTGACAGAACCATTGGGTGAGACTATGGAAGGAGGAATGCAATTGAGGGGAAATAGGCCTGGTCACCTCATGGGCTGTGTCCGCAGGGCTGTCTTCAGGTCTTCCACAACTTGGTTTCTCCTCTCCATTTCCTCCTCATCAAATGTGTACAGGCTCTGCACATGAGGCCCACAGGTAAAGAGAGAAGGGTCACATTGGGCCATCCACCTCTCTCCCAGGTTCCTCCATCCCCAGGGCAGATATGATTGGCAGGGGGCATCCCTGCCTTGGGAAAGGTGAGGACTCAGAGGATAGTTGACTAAGACACAGTCAGACTCTGAGAAGACCAAGGTTCTGGTCCCAGACTTCACTTTCATTATCTGGGAAATTCGAAGAATTACTGGTCCAGTCTATTTCCAATGCTTGTGTGATGCCTAGATGGTTTAGTATGTGCTTAGCTGGTTGGGTGGACTCTGAAGTCCCAGGGAGGAGATAGATTGTGGTAAGATCTTAGAATTACTAGAAATCTGCTGGGAGCATAACACTGGGGAGTGGAAAAGGTAACCAACCACTCTTCGGTGTTGGCAGGAATCACTGCCTTCCAGGATCTATCCAAGTGGAGGCAAGGCAGAAGAGGGGCGGTCACTTACCACAGCCATGGAGTTGATGCGGTCGATGTAATAGTCAGGCCAGCTGGTTGCCAGCTTGTTGGGGTCCTCCTGCTCCTGCAACAAGATAGACTCAGGTATGTCCAACCTGTGGTCCAGGAGACACGTATATCCCATGATAGCTACAAATATGCCCCAACAATGTCACATCACAATATCAAAAGGTTGGACATCACTGGATGAACCAACTAGTAAAATAGATCTATGATCTAAGACCCTAAGCTTCATTTGAAATTTATAGTTATCAGCACTGCCCACAGGGGGTTGTCCTGTGGAAGATGCAGTCTCCTGAGGTTTCCATTTGTTCCTCAGTGAGATACTGACAACAAGCACAGACTTCTATGATCAGCCAAGGACATGGGCAGAATTGTGCAGGGATCACTTTCAATGAACCAAACGTATCAAACTAAAATATTTTTCCCTGCCATCTCTGTTCTGCCTATAGTTGTGCAAGTATCATTGTATGGTTGTTTCATTTCAAATTTTCCATGTCTTTCATCTTTTGTGCACGTATGTAAGGGTGTACATGCATGTGTGTGCACATGCATGTGGAAACCTGAGGACAGCCTTGGATGTTATTCCACAGACACCATCCACCTTGCTTTTTGAGACAGGGTCTCTCACTGGCCTGGAGCATATAAAGTAGGCTAGGTTGGCTGGCCAGTGAGCCCCAGGAATCTGTCAGTTTCTACCTCTCTAGCATAAACATGCTGAATATTTTAACTGGTCTTTTTCACACTGATTCTTGAGCTCAAACTCAGGTCCCCATGCGTGTGCATGCATGTGCTTTACCAACTGAGCCATCTCCTATGCACATTTTCTTTCCTTTTTCACCTTCTCACGTTTTTCTAATATCATTCTTGTAGTAAACAAAAGTATTGGTCTGTGCTGGTTTGGAAATAAAATACTTGATTTTTCTAGAAGAAATCCCCCCAGTCCTGGGGGCTGGAAAGACCTTTGGGCCCCTGATGCACCTGCAATCGCTCACTGTTTACTCTTCCGAAACAAGGGGATGCGCATCTGGGAGGCAGAGCCAGGTGGGCAGCATCCAGCTCACCCCCAGCTCCCACATAAAAGGCTCGACTTACTGGTGTGGGCAAGAATGATGTGAGTTCAGTAAATCTGAATGTTGAATAACAACCACCTCCCCTGACCAGAAGAGCTGCTTCTAGACCTGACACTCGCCCTGCGGGCTCTCATATCCATTCCTGGACATGTTGGACAGTTTCATCTGCTGTCAGCCAACCTGCTTCCAAATCAGCAGGAACACACGTGCTCCAACAGCCCCTTGATGAACCACCGCTATTCCTGCATCCCTGACCGCTTTAGGTTTGCCATTTTGTTTCCTAAAATCCGAACTTCAGACCTGTGGGAAAGTCACCTTGTTCTGGTCTAGATTGTTTCCCTGTTTTCTGCCCCATGATAGGGAATCCCAGAACCAAAGGCAACTGTATTCTATGCATATACAGTTGTCTGCATCTATAGGCTTATTGTTATCCATTCTGTATGCATTTAATGTACACCTTTGGAATGCCAGTCACTCAGAACTGAGCTCTCAGAGCTCTGAGGAAGAAAGTCACCATGGTTTCTTCTCTGAAACAGAACAGTTCTATGGTAGAACTGTCCAAGTTAGATCAAAGGGGAGCATCCACCATAAGAGGGTGCAGTGGGAATAGACAGATGGCATAAGAGGACTGGGTTGAGTTACTGAAGATCATTCAGCCCAAGACAGGTGTGTATGGGGGGCGGGCATTGTAGGCTGAGGAAATGCACGTGGAGAGGCACAGAGGTGTGAGGAATGTGGAGGAAAACACACAATTTGGTTTGGAATGTAGAAAGCAACACCTTTGTGTTTGCTAAACCTTTTACTTTATCTGTACAGGAGAGCAACTTGAGGGGACTCCATAGTCATTGATTTAGAAAGTGGAGCATCATGAGACACGATGATTACTCCTAATGTCTCCTCCCTCCCTCCCTCTCTTTCCCTCCATCCTTCCTCTCCCACTCTTTCCTCCCTAACCCTTCCTTTCCTTCCTGTCTTTCCCCTCCCTCCATCTTCCCCTTCCTCCTTCTCTCCCTCCTTCCACCCTCACTTCTGTGACAAACTTTTCTTACAATGGGAGTCAGGGACACCACATTGTGTTGAGTGGTTTGCAGTATGAGCAGCCCACACAGCTTATCATAGGTTCCCAGACTCCAGGACTTCCACCCTTGGAGGTCTGAGTCCCAGTGAAGGCCTGGCAGGTAATGGGGTGTGTTGCTGTATGTTATCCTTCCCTTCTACATAGAGAAAAGAAAGACTGACTCTAGGTTTCCTTCTTCTCTGGGCATGTATGTATACAGTTTTTATAAGGTCATCCTGGCTGGGTGGGGAGCCCTGGGGATGGGATCAATGTCCTGACCAGGAAAGAGAAGAGAAGAGCTCTGAATGGACCCCGCTCAGCCCTGCCTGTCTTCTCCAGGAGAAACATGGAAATAGCCCAACCCTGGTCCCCAAACATCTACACCCTGAAGGCAGAGGAACAAACTCACTCAAATCTTAAAGCTGGGAGGACAGGGTGGAAAGGAGGAAGGTGAACCACGAATAAAAAATGAGTGAAAGAAACAGGAAGGTCGGAATAAAGGGTAAATGAAAGGGAAAGACGGAGAAAGACAGATGGAGAGAGAACACAGCCTGTGGTGCAGAGAGGGGAGAGACCCGATGGAGCCTGCCCAGAGCCTGGTGCAGCCCTTTGGAGGAAGAGCAGTCAGGAGACCGTGCATGTCTGTAAATGAGCTGAGGGAGGCAGAGAATTAGGACCCTATGTGTGACCCCTGACCTGAGGCAAAGAGGACTCACTATCTCTACCATACCCCAAGGACACTGAGTTCATCGCATAAGCTGCTCTGACTATGGCCCAGAGCTATAGGCCACCATGTCGCCACCATGTCCCTATGCCAGGAATCAGGCACAAGAAGGGCATGGGTACTTCTTACCTTGACATTGCACTAACCTAGCCCCAGTCCTAGAACATGGCAGGTCCCTGCTCAGTGGGTTTCTGGATACAGAACCCTAATTCTCTATAGGTAAGCCCCAAGAAGACAGATTTTTTAATTTCTGTTTTCTTTTTATAATTTTTATTTATTCATGAATGCGTGTATGTTTGTATGTAGGTGTATGTTCATGTGTGTTTATGTGGGTGCTCAGGTACATGAGTGTACGCACACATGTGTATGCATGTACATGTGGAAGCCAATGGTCAGCCTCAAGTATATTTCCTCAGGAGCTACTCATCCTGTTTTTTGAGACAGGGTATCTCCCTGGGACCTACGGCTGGCTGATTCAGCTAGGCTCGCTAGACCAGGGAGCCCCAGGGGCCCTCCCATCTCTGCCTCCCCAGCACTGGGACTACAACCATGCACCACCACAGGTGGGGTGGGGCTGGGACTGCAACTCGGGCCTTCATTTGTGCATAGCAAGCACGTTACTGACGGAACGCCCATACTTTTGTTTTCTGTACTGTTTGTCCTCCGACACCTGGCATGGTGATTGTTTCTTAAATGAAAGAATGAGTGAATGAGCAGTTAAGGCCTTAGAGCTGGCCTCTGTTGGGGTCTCCAGGTGGGACAGGTGGGACAGGGAGGGGGTCACCTTCTTCTTGCTGCAGTAGATCTGCCATTTCTTCTCAGGAGGCAGCGCAAACACAGCCTCCCGGTTTTTGTCTGTGAGATCCAATTCATCCTGCAGAGATGAAAAGACACGTGTCTGAAACCCAAGGACTGGTATAGGCAGCCCCACAGGAACTTAGAACACCCCCCAATCCCACCCCTCGGCCTACCATCTTCCTCCCAGAGGAGCATCAAACGCACCACAGGGCATTTCTTGTTCTAGAAGCAGAGCCTCAGGCCCTTGCCTCAGCCAAGCTGGAGCTTCTACCCATGCTCCTTTGCTCCCTGCCCATACCTTATCACTGCACACCACCTTCCTCCTCCAGGACACCTTGCTCTCTGCCCTTTAGCATTGGTTTGCTGTCCCCTCATCTTGGGCAGGGTAGTTTGTCCTTCCAAAGTCTGCCATCATGCCCTTCTTTTTTTAAAATATATGCGGTTGGAACCAAACTCAGGTCCCCATGCTTGCAAGACAAGCACTGTACTGGTGGAGTTCTCTCCCCAGCCCTTGTTTTGTTTTGAGACAGTCTCATTCTGCAGGCCAAGCTAGTCTAGCACTCACTCTGCAGCCCCAGCTGGCCTGCAACTCACTATATAGACCAGGCTGGTCTCAATCTCAGAGATTTGGCTGCCTCTGCTTCCCGAGTGCTGGGATTAAAGACATATGCCACCACTCTTTTTAAAGCTTCTTTATCATGTAGCTCATGAGCTCTTCAAAGGATCATCAAAGAAATGGCTAACAGCCCACGGGAAAACAGTGGGGTTTTCAACTCAATTGTGAGATAATTTGGACTGTATGTGTTCCTGGGGATTCAGGGCCTTACGCATCCTAGACAAGTGCTCTTCCACTGAGCTAGCCCCAAACCTGAGTGAGATTTTTTTTAAAAGCAAAAGTCATATTAATATCACAAATACTATTATTAATCTCTATATTCTGAAGTATGATAAACAGTGAAAATATCTTCAGGAAGGATAAGTGTCTTTTTTTAAAAACGTTTTATTTTTACTTTATGTGTATGAATACAAATGCCTGCATGTAGTAGGTGTGCCTGTGTCACGCAATGCCCACAGAGGTCAGAAGAGGGCATCAGAGCTCCTGGAACTGGAGTTACAAATGGTTGTCATAGTAGGTGTACCTGTGTCACGCAATGCCCACAGAGGTCAGAAGGGGGCATCAGAGCTCCTGGAATCGGAGTTACAAATAGTTGTCGGCCACCATGTGGGTGCTGGGAATCAAACCCAGGTCCTCTGCAAAAGCAGCCAGTGCTCTTAAGCACTGAGCCATCTCTCCAGCCAGAGGATGAGTTTCTTAAAGCTTCACCTCTATTATCTTTTCTCTACATTTTTATTTGAGAATATTTTTAAGATTTTTTTAAAAAATTTATTTATTTATATATTTATGTGTATGAGTGTTTTGTCTACATGTATGAAAGTGTACCCATGTTGTAAAAGGCCTGAGAAAGCCAGAAGAGGGTACTGGATCCCCTGGAACTGGAGTTATAGACAGTTGTTAGCTGCCATGTGGATGCTGGGAATTGAACCTGGGTTATCTGAAGAGCAACCAGTACTCTTAACTGCTGAACTTATATGTGTGTCTGTGTATATATGTATACCACATGTGTGGTGTGTGCAGGTGCCTGCAGAGACCAGGAGCAGGCGTTAGATCCCCTGGAGCTAGAGTTACAGGTGGTTGTGAGCTGCCCAGTATGGGTGCTGAGAGCTGAACTCCAGTCCTCTGCAAGACCATTAAGCACTCTTAACTGCTGAGCCATCTCTCCAGCCCCGAGAGAGAATATTTAAGACATTCTTTCTCTAGGCCAGAACTGTTAAGTAGAAATATAATATGAGCAGCATATATTTTAAAACTGCTCTACTCACAAAGAGTTCATGAGAGAAAAATGGGTGAAGTTTTAATACATTTTATTTCTAATATACATAAAATATAATCATTTCGACATGTACTAAAATGTAAAAATTATCAGTATATCTTACATCATTTTTCTTTCTTTTTCTAATTTTTTTTTTGAGACAGGGTCTACAATAGATCAGGTGGCCTGGAGCTCACTATGTAGCTGAGGATGACCTTGAACTCCCAATCTTCCTGCCTCTACACTTAAGTGCTGGGATTACAGGTGTGTACTACCACACCTGGCTCATTCTTTCCAACAGTCTTCAAAGCCTCATGCATATTTTACATTTAAGGCTCATATAGACTTGGAAACCCCAGTTGCCCAGCAGCTGTCATTTGGACAGTAAATGCACCAATGACCTCAAACAATGCTCATCAGCTCACCTGCCTTTTAAATTCAACACGTCTGGAGAGTCAATGCCAAAGAAAATTTCTTTCATTGAACTGTTCTCTACATATCTCACAAATGTTTTTGGTCAGAATTCCCAGAATCATGTTTGAGACTTCCTTTCCATGACCGGATATTTTTTAAAAATGCACCTATATGCATATGTATTTATGCATGTTTACATATATATGGGCACACATGTGTGCATATGTGTGCAGGCGTGTATGCAAGCATGTGGAGGTCAGAGGTTGACACCAGGGATCTTCCTCAGTTACTTTCTACCTAATATATTGAGACAGGTCTTTCACTGGAACCCAGAGCTCAATAGTTCAGTCGAGTGTAGTCGAGTTTGCCAGCTTGTTCTGGGGATCCTGTCTCTGCCTCCTGTGTTCTGGGGTTATAGGCTACTATAGCCACCCAGCACTAGCGTGCTTGGCGATCTGCACTTCAGTTTTCACACTTGCATAGAAAGTACTTTACCCACATGTCCCACTCCGTATTTTCTTTTGAAAATATTTATTATTTTATTCTTTTATGTGTACGAGTGTTTTGCCTCCTATAAGTGCACTCATGTCATGCAATGCCCATAGAGGCCAGGAGAGGGCATCAGATCCCCTGAAACTGGTGTTAGATTATGGTCAGCCACCACATGGGTGCTGGGAACTGAACTCAGGTCCTCTGCAAAAGCAGCCAGTGCTTTTAGCCACTGAGCCATCTCTCCAGTCCCCATAATTTCTTATTCTTTAAATGAGTTACATACAGCTCACATTTCCCAGCTCAAATCTGCCCTTCTTCATCCGTGGTGCCTTTCTTATAGTCCTCCCTGCCCGCACATGCTGAGTCCCCTCATCTGATTCCTGTGGCTCAGAATCAGCCTCATTAGCAAGCCTTCCCTTAGCTTGCCAGGAAGAACAATCTCTTCTCCCTGAAGTAAAGAACAGTTACACTGGACTTTGCCTGCTGGTAATTTATAGGCTTGTCTTTTCTAGCCAATGGCCTTCATCTCTATGTCAGTGGGCACAGCTAAGTGGTTTTTCTTGCCCAGGCAGCATGGGGCTTTGCCGATCACTTGCTCCTTACTGAATCTCTTTCATGACTTTACCAAAAACCACTATCTCGTATACTTCAGATGAAGGTGGAATACCTTGGAACACCATCCTGTGGTCCCTCCTCTCCTCTCTCCAAGTCTCATGCCACATGAACCTGCTCACCCATTCCTAAGGACTGTTACTGTCTCATGCCCCCAGGCCACTAAAATATTTACACTGTGTTACTATGAGCCAGATCCTGTGCAAAATGCCTAATGTTCATTCATTTCTTTGAAAGTTGCAACAACTAGTTTTACAGAGGAGAAAATATGCTGAGAGAGAAGGGGCAAACTGAATTCATTTGCCTCTGAAATTTAAGTGCCCTCTAAGATTGACAGACTTTTCATTTTTTTAAAGATTTATTTTTGTATTATGTGCATGCATGTTTGTCTCTGTACGGAGATTAGAAAGAGGAAGCCAGTGCCCTGAAGCTGGAGTTACAGATGGTTATGAGATGCCTGATATGGGTGCTGAGAACTGCTTAGGACCTCTGCAAAAACAGAACATGCTTCTAACCTCTGGGCCAACTCTAATCCAAAGATAGCCTGTATTGTACAACCCAGAATTTACCCCATTCTTAGTGTCAGAAACCCAGGTGTTCCTGAATTCCTACTCATTCATCTTCCTGGGTTCTGTTATCTTTCTTCTTAAACTGCCAGAGTCAGCCATTCCTTCCCTTGTTCTCTGGCACTTTAGCCCAAGCCAGTATTCTCCCTAGCATGAAGCCCTTCAGTACCCTCCTAATGACCAACCCAGACCCCATCTGCAGCACACTGGCCTGAATGGCCTTGCCAAGATGGTATACTGGATCACGAAGTCTTCAGTGGCATTCCATTATCCTTAGAAGTGAACCTCAAATATTTAGCTACTTGGTCGTCACTGTGTACTCCTCTCCCCCCACAACCCCCTGCAATCCAGATATTTGCTGCCCTGGATCTTTCCCCTATGCTGATTCTTCTTCAAGAGATCCTCCATCACTGCTCTATGTTCATATTCACTTAACTGCCCCCCCCCCGGGGTGGGCAGCGGAAGTCACTGCTTCATAGGGTTAGTGTGACCTTGCTGGCTAGTAAAAAATACTCCCATCTGGACACTCCCATGGCCCTCTGAGTTCACTCTGTGCTGACACTTCCCACACTCACTTTTCTCCATGGTTAGTCTTCCCTAGGAGATACCCCATTCTGGAAGCAGTATTCTGCCTGTGGATCAAATCTAAATCACTAGGACCCTTGTGGGGCCCAGAACTTGGTCTTGTCTCCAAATAAGGATTTTTTTGTCTGCTCAGTTACTGATCCTGGTCTCAATGCAGACAAGATCTGTCTGATTGATCCTTACTTTTGCACACACCTCACTAAGGTGCTCAGTAAATATTTATTGAGTAAAGGAGGGGAAGAAAGAACACCTCTCATCACATCTTCCCTTCAAATCCATACTCTACTCAAGAAAATACCCTTAACATCAGATTCCAACTGCTATTCACTAGCAAACACTTCGTTCCCCAGCCCCATCCTGGGAACTGCTATAAATCAGAAAACAATGGATTTTTCTGAGGCTGACGCATGATGAGGAAGCCGGACAGCTTTTCAAAGAACCTGTGTGGTCTCATCTAATAGTTATCGATTTGAAGGCTAGAATGCCTTCACCAGATGCATGTATTAGCAAACACAAGGACAAAGGAGCATGCTATCAGCATGACTGCTGGCCTGCCATGAGAACATGAAACTAAAAGTTAACAGCACATAAACTTGTGTTGTGGCTCCCTGCCAGAGTACAAGTCCTGCATCCCCTGTCTGGGGCATCTTTTCATGTGCAGGCTATGTGAGCACTCTGAAGAATGGAACCCCCTTCATCCCTTTCCTGCCTCCTTGAGCTCAAAATATGGATTTTCACACACAGCATTTCCCACACACTAGAAGACAGGCTAGTCTGTATGGGCATTTCAGAGCCAAGAAGATCTGGCACTCTTATGAGTGACAGAGGTCTGGTCACTCCTGGTTAGACACAGGATATGATGATTATCATAGACTTGAGTAAGGGCCTGAGAATGAACTGGGTATTTCTGCCTTCATATTTCTAGGTGATCGTCCTTGTTCTAAGATACTCAGAATCTGCCTATAGAATGCCACACCATCCTTTCTACCTGCCTTTGAAATTAAATTATCACATGAAAATTCCAGAAAGCAGAAGAGAGAAGGCTACCAGGAGTCCTGCATTCTTAAGAGAATTTCTAGTGTCTCATTTCACAAGAGCCTGAATGTGACCCCTTCTAATGGCAGCCCAACTGCTGCACCATATGGTCCAGACCCAAGGGGAATTGCAGGTAGACATCTTGTCCTAGGGACCATTTCATGATGTATACCCCAGTGAGGAGCTATGTTTCCTCCAAAGGTGTTCTGAGGGGCCCATCTCAGCCCCTCAAGAAGAGCTTTGAGAGGTGGAAACCCCAGCACACAGGCTCCTGTTCTCTGGCCCACTCTGCTTATCCATCCACCCTCTCTCTCTATCATCAGCACCCTCCCTCCCCCTTCCCTCACTGACCACCAGTTCTGCAAATCGGACGTTGAGCTCCTCTGGGTTTGGGATGGGACTGGAGAACTCCAGGTACTGCAATGGGTGGCTGTCCCGAAGGTCGATCTCAGGGAGGTCACTGCCCCCAAAGCAACACAGGAAACCCAAGCCATGGTGGCTCCTCTTGCGGAGGGCCATTGTCACTGCAGGCTGGGGTGGTCAGCAGGCAGGTGCCTTAGTTCCTCATCGAGATCTAGGCAACAGAATAGAGTGCTGGTGGTCAGGTTAAACTGCTAGACAGGTCACTCTGCTTCTCAGCCCAGTGTCTAAGGCTCCAGCATTTTCTCACAGACTCATTTCTGCCTCCTCTATCTCCTACTTGGAGTCACTCAATTGTCCCCACCAGACTTCCAGGTATTTCCTGTCACAGACACTTTCCCATTCCTTGTCCTCGCCCCTGGAGAAGTGAAGAGAATGACAGTCACAACACATGACCTCTTCCAGGTGCTCAGGACTGGTGTCTATCTGATGTTCTCTATGTCTGATGATGAAATCCTGTTCTCTGTCCCCTGGAAGATCAACTCCCACCAGAGTTCATTGACTCACTTGATTCATTTTGGAGATGATAGATTTAAAGACATACTACAATGGGGAGGATGTTAGTCAGCTAGCAAGGGGAACACTGAGCTCATTATAGCCACAGTCCCTGGCATAAGAGCCTCCAGAGAAGTAGAGGGTGTAAAGGTTCAGCATCCTGCCCAGCTTTTACCCACTCTACTGTACTCAGACTACTTGTATGGAGTAGTACAAAATGTCAAGAAGACAATAGTTCACCCACCCATCTAGAAGAGGAGGCCAGTGCCCTCAGCCCTGGATAGAGCTGGGAAATTAAACCCTGGTTAAGAGAATGGGGCTTCCCCCTGGGATGGTGTTGAGCATATTGGGGGAAACCTGGTCAGACGTGCTTTTGAAAATCAACAAGAAGAGAAGATACTGATCTGTCCAGAGGCTAGAACTGATAGGCATCCAACAGTTGGGTGACAGTTGAAAGAGTTACATCCTTGCCATTGGGAAAGCCTCACTCAGTGATGCCCAGCTTTGAGAAGAAACACTAGCCCCATAGTGGTTGCCATGGAGCCCCTAGATTGCTTAAGTTCAACCATCAGCACACAGAGCTCCTGCGGGGCAGATCCATCCTTCCTAAACATGCTTCAGACAACTTGGGTGGGTGTGGCAGAGAGATTATAGATCACACGCCCACAGCTGCCCACCCTATATGTACAGACCTTAATTTTATGAACATAAATACAGGACTTATCTATTCACTTATTTTGGAGTATGTGTGCACATATGCACACAAACACCACGATGTGTGTGTGGAGATCGGAAGACAATCTGTGGGAGTCAGTTTCCAGAGATTGAACTCAAGTTGTCAGGCTTGGTGGCAAGTGCCTTTATCTGCCAAGTCATCTCAACAACCCCAGGATTCCATTTTTTATTCTTACTGAACATTGTTAGCTTGGTATTAGGGATTGCAACCAAGATAGTTTTATGTTATTGTTCTATTTTTTATTTGATATGTGTGATTATATTGCTTGCATATATGTAAGTGCACTGTGTCCTATAATGCCTGCAGCGGTCAGAAAAGGGTGTTGAATCTCCTAGAACTGGAGTTACAGACAGTTGTTAACCACCATGTGGGTGCTGGGAATCAAACCTGGGTTCTCTGCAAGAGCAGTCAGTGCTCTTAACCACTGAGCCATCTCTCCAGTCCCTCTAATCAAGATATTTTTGAGTCCTGATGCTTAATTGTTTCTCCTAGATTTGGATCAAACACACAAGGACGCATCCCCAGTTGTCATTACATCACTGGGACAAGAACTTAAACCCCGATGTCATATCAGCCACATCTTCAGCCACCAGCACACCCTTCATCAGTCCTTAAGCCAAATCTTCAGCCACCAGCATACTCTTCATCAGTCCTTGGGGGCATGGTCCCTCAGCCAACTCTACAACCATGTAAGCCTTCATGACTGGCCCTCTTTCCTATAAAACAACATGAGAGGTTTTCCCTCCAGACCTGTGGAATTTAAGATGTACTAACCCTTTGGCACTCCTTTGAACTAGGATCTAGAATCTTATGGAAAAATAAACAAGATAAACATGGCATATGCCCTTCTTAGAAAATGTCAGAACCCGCTAAAGAACAGTGTTTTTATTTTCTGACTCCTAACAACCTAGCTAATAGTTGTGAAACCTTATCTCAGCTCTTATCTAAGTTATGATCTATTTTAATTGCCATTCTAGAGCTTTATACTTGCTCCATTTTATCTTCTTTTTAAATTTGTGATAGGCTTTTAATAGGTCCAGATAAGTCTTGAATAAAACATCATCTAATGGTACCTTGTATCATTATAATTTCCTTGATAAACACTGGCTCTCAAACATATTAGAGGTGCTTTGAAGACGGGCTGTGTCTCCTGCCTCTCCGTTGACCCCCATCCTAACTTCTATAGCTAATAAAAGATTTGTACTTAGTAGGTACACCATCCATAGTCCTTGAACAATGTGGAATGACTCATCTTTGTAGAAAAAAAAAAAAGAGGAAAAGAGGGATCCTTGTTAAATATTTCAATCACCATGTCCTGACTGGTTAAGGACCAGTAGTTGAGACGCAATCAGGAATATCTGTAAGAATCAAGAGGAGAGTTGTACAGGCTGGGATCGGGGAAGTCACCAGGAAGCTGGAAGCCATTCTGTACCCTGGAGGCAAAGATTTGAGATCACTGGGGAGGGGAGATTTTTGGGGTTTTCTATGGGATTTGGTAGCTGATGGCCAAGCGTGGAGGATATATTAGCTACTTTCTCATTGCTGAAACAAGATACCCAACAATCAACTTAAGGAAGTTTGAGAGTATAAGATCCATCATGAAGCCAGCCGATGAATCTGCTTATCTGAATGTGCATCTGGGGGGAAAAAAAAAAAAAGAGAAAGATTCATTGTGGCGGGAAGGGCATGGTAGGAGGAATTTTGGGGCACCTGTGTTCAGGAAACAGTGATGAATGTGAGTGCTCCGTTTGCTTTCCTTCTTTGAATTCAGTCCAGGACTACAGCCCTTTGAATAGTGTCACTCATATTTGAGACGGGTCTTCCTATCTCAGTTAACCTAACCTACAAAATCCCTCACAGATATATCCTGTCACAGAGTTGACAGTCAATATTCACCATCAGGGTGGGTGAGACAAGGCAAGGGAATCTGATTGTCAGGCCTTGTAAGGCCGATGGGCAGACAGAGATGGGGGCAATTGTGTGGATGCAAAGCTAATCTCTTTTGTTTCACTCTTTCAAGTGCAGGGGGAGCTGGTGAGCAGGACGTCTCTAGGTAGAGCACAGAAAAGGGAAGAAAGCTTGCAGAGGCTATGCTGATGAGGCTGGGCTGGTAATATGATGGAGCACTGGGATGGTTTGAGTTGATGTCTGGGACCATAATCCCCTCTTCCTGCCTTTACCCCTTCAACTTCCTCATTCCCTCCATGTCCCTCCTCAGCCTTCTCTGTTCTTCAGTTCCTAAGCCAGACCTCGTCAGTCAGAATCAGGGATGTTGGCCAGGATGATCCAGTCTGCTCCAGGTTCACAGTCACTGTTGGTCTGGTCGCCAGGAGTCTTAATAGCTGTTATCAAATGTTACATTTCCTTCCAATGTGGGGAAAGAGATAAAGTGGCCCTGGGGGGCGGGGCGCAGACACAGACCCTGTAGCCAGGAAGCGCCATCCCCAAAGAGAAGGGCCCTGTGCATTTGTCCTTCTCAGGGACCACCTGTATGACAGCTCCCAGGCAATTAAAGTCAGGCAGGGATGGGAAGATGAGGTGATCAGACCAGTTCATTCCTGAAGTCCTTTTAGGAGGACTTAGGATACTTTTTACCTCAGAGAACAATTGAAAAAATCTCAGGGGACACGAATCAAGGACAGAATGAAACCCAGTGAACTTGAACTCCAGCCAGAGGGATTGAACCTGCCTCCAGCATGACCCACTTTTCTCTCCATGGAAACTTCCCCAGGGCTGGCAGCCCCCTGCCTTCCACATCATGTCCTCTTGTTTTCTCTTCTTGTGGAGATGAGCTTTTCAGGACTGACAGGGGCCACTAGCCTGAGACACAGAGCCATGGGGCCAACACCTCCAATGAGCCATTCCAATGAGCCACAAGACCCCCTCGAGGCTCCACTCCCAGGCCTCAGCCTCTGTCACCTGCCCATGAGACCGGGCTGGTTCCAGCTCTGTCACTGGACTTGTGGGTCAAGGGTCATGGTGTTTCATAGTGCTTGCCTCCCAGAGACTTATCTTCTTCCAGTACAACTGCTACCACTGACTGAAGACCTCCAAGGAGTCCACCAGCCTCAACCCCTCCCACTGTCTCACTCAACCCCTTCTTACAGGCTTCCCAAGAGGCTCTCCTCTGCTTTAACTGAGCACCCCCACCCCACATTCCAACCCAAGGCAGGCAGGAAGGACTTCCTAGAACTTGAGTTGGTCTTTAAAGATAAAAATCCTAACCCTTACCCCCAAACCTTAGCACTCCACACAGCAGTTTGCCTCTTTGGACTTCAAAGCTCCAGATTGTAAGTATTTATTCCTTAGCCTCAATTAAAGGCAGAATAATGCTAATACTTCAGATCTGACTGTGTGCTAGACACTGGAAGAAAATCTGCACTTTTACCCCCAGGACAATTTGTAATCAATGAAATCACTTTTAAAGAAATGATTAAGGGGCTGGGGAGATGGCTCAGCTGGTGAAATGCTTGCTGGGCAAACATGAAAACCTGAGTCAGAGCCCCAGAACCAACATAAAAAGCCAGGTGTGATGCTGCATTTGTAATCCCGGCACTGGGGAGAGGGAGACAGGTGGATCCCTGGGGCTCATTTGTCAGGCAGCTTAATCCAATTGGTGAGCTCCAGACTATTGAGGAACAATACTCAATACTACCCTCTGGCTTCCATGAACTCATGCATGAAAACACACACACACACACACACACACACACACACACACACACTCACACACTCTCTCTCTCTCATTCACACACCCTTCTGCCTGCTGGAAAACTTCAGTTGTCAACTTAATACACCTGGAAAACTTCAGTTGTCAACTTAATACACCTGGGAAGAGGAAGCCTTAACTGGGAAATTACCTCTATCAGATTGACTTATGGATCTGTCTGTGAGACATTTTCTTGATTATTAAGTGATATGGG